TTACACCGGATACGGTGGAAAAGATCACTGTCCTCAGGTTGTTCCAAAGAAGGGCAGAAGAACATGATAGTACGGTATGCTGGGAACTTCAGGACGGATGGGTGAGCGTACTGTTGAAGGATTTAGTTGATCGATAAATTTCCTTTATGCCATGGGTATAGCTAGATATGAGGATAACGCAGCCTACATGGCGCCGTTGCTCAAGATTATTGTGAGTTTTGGCCACGCTTTCATCACCCACGACTATCTGAGCCAACTGATGTACGCGGTCGATGGTCTCCAAGCAAAGTTTGGAGCACCCTACAACAAATTCAAGCTATACTCGAATTTTGACCGGATATAATCTGTATAAGTGGTATAGACATCGACTACGATGAAGTATTTTTTACAGGCGTTTCAAAAAACCTAAGCCCTTGACTGTGTCTTCCGACGCTTCGAACATACGTTCGGTTCAACGAATTTTCATGTCGCGAATATCAAAGGTTTGCCGGTTCTTCTACACTGACATCTCCAAAAGAGAGGGTTTGCTCTTAGTTTTTTCTGTGCGTTAGGAGACTGCTTTGAGTTTTGGTGACCTTGAAAATTACCCCATTTGCTTGACTCCAATTAGCTATTTTGACGAGGTTTACGAGTTAATGCGATCTCTTATGAGATGGTACAATTAAGAATAACAACCCATCGAAGATGGTGGATATTAAACATTCGACACAAGTCGAATATAGCCTTTCTCCTCTTTGTTGTTACGTGAAGAGATTAATTAAACCATTTTATAGAAATATAAACATTTAAAAAATAACTACAATGAAATGAAGTGGAAAATTATATAGAAAGTTTGAAAAGAGGAGAGATAGAGAGAGATAGCGAGCAGCAAGTGAATGATATTTACGAACATAATGAAATACATGGCTTTGTTTACTGCTTGGCTTATATGTATAAATGTAGGCTAGCTTTTTGTAAAATGACTTGATTGTAATTTCAAAATGTATGTTAAGGTGAAATGAAGAAGAGTACATAATTTTTCTTTTTTACTTTCGAGAAAATAAATGAAATGTATGCAAATTATGTGTGCGAGTTGTTGAAGGTTTTCCGAGTGGAAGATGGTTTTCTATACATGCTGAAAATTAACTTGTCCTTATACCCACTACCGAAGAACGTTGAAAAACTAATTTCGTTTTTTTTTTTTTTTTTTCTTTAGTCAAATCTAAAGGTATGAGTCCTAGCAACTCATACCCTTGATTTTTTTTTTTTTTATTATTAATTTGAATTTCTTGAATCATGTTGGCTGTCTTTTTTCTTTTTTTTCACATAATCAATCATTCAGGGGCTATATCCTGTACGTGTACCACCGATATGGTCAGAGAGAAGTGGGGAAGAAGGAAGAAAGACGAGAAATGGCCGCATGCCCATATGGTAACGCGTCTAACTTTACCGACTGAGCACTTACTGTAGCTACGACCAAAGTAAATTCTACTGCGGAGATAATTTGGATCCGCGAACACCGACATGGCTTTTATCTACTTTGCTATGTCTGAAGGATAACTTTCAAAAAACTTTTTTAATCACAGTTTTCCATCAAATTCTTCAATTCTCAAGATATCAGAAAATTAAGATAAAATTCAAATTTAGGGCGCAGGTTGCAGCAATGCTTGAAGGGAAATGAGCTTTGCCAACAAGGGCCGATTACAGCGTACTTATACTATGAAGGACCATCAAAGAGCAGACCATCATAAAACAAGTTTTACCAGGGAGCATCAAACCTACGCACATTATTAAGTAGCGGGTATCGCAACGTTCGCCTTTAAACGAACTTGATTTCCCTAATTGTTTCACTCTTTGGACTAGGAATTATGTGAAAGCTAATTTTTACTTAGTTTGCTTTAGATGTGATTAAGCTGCAGTCTAGAGATGTTGTTGTAAAAATGCAAATAATTGGCTGAAAAAAAAACTGAACTTTAACAATGGACTGTGTGCACGTGTTATAATACTATTGAAGCTTAAGCAATATATCAAAAATCAGGGCAGTGATTCTCGAGAAGAATTTTGATGAGATATAGATTTTTTTTTTTTTTTTATTAAAGAAAGGAAATTTAAAGAAAGCTGTCCAAAGTCGGCGGGAGGGACAAGAAAAAAAATTTGAGGATAGAAAGTTGTGCGGAGTTAACGCATATTCGGTATTTTTGTAATTTTTCTTTTAAATTCAAATTGCATCGTATGAGGAATATTTTTTGGGAAATTTGTACTTTTTCAGAGTATTTTCAAATTAAAATGAAGTGATATTGAAAGAAGAGTTTTAAAGCTGAATGGTATTGATATTAAGTTCAAAATTTCAATATTGCAAATCATATGAAGTTAGCACATGGAATTATATAGATTAATTCACCGGGAAGGGTAACTACTTTGTTTGTTTGTTTGGTCATCAGATAGATTTTAACTCCTCCTATTTGACAATCGTATAGACGGACAATGTTTAAGCAATGCTTTTTATTCTACTGAAATCGGTTATTAAATACTATGGAATTTCAGATTTGAGAACCCATCTTTCCCCGTGAAGAAAGTGCGAGGTAAAACTACATATCACCTGAAGCTCGAATATTTGTGATCAATAAAATTCAAACTTTCACTTATGTGGTTAATGCTATCTTGTAAGCATGAAGTCATGGGTAATTTTCTTGATTTTTTTTTTTTATAAGAAACAAATCCGGCGATAACAAGTTTTCGTAAAATACTTGAGAATTTTTCTAATTTCTTATTTCATAAGAACATGGAGGGACAGCCGTTCTCTCAGAAAAGTCTGTGTATCTGCTCGACTGTACCTCTAAGGTATCTCAAATTTCCACTGTAGCTTCACACGGCAAAATATTCCCATATAACACATTACTTGTGTTTTTTTGTTAATATGGACTTATCGCTCGGGAGATGTACCCTATTCGTGTAACACCAACGTAACGTTCACAAAGAGATGAGAAAAGAGAAAGATATATGGAAGTGGGCGTCACAGCCTAGTACATTTGTCCGAAATGGGTAAGTGTTATGTCTCTACCGGCTGGCGATTCATCATAGCCATGACCAAAATAAACGTTATCGCGCTTAAGATTTGAACACGCGTATGCTGACTAGGTAGTCGGGATTCTCACCTATTAGGCCACTCAGGCTGTGAACCACAATCGAGCTTCAAAATAAAAGCAATCTTTCCACACACACATAAACATTTTTTTTTGTACATCCCCCAAAGTAATGGGGGCAGGGGAAGGAGGTATACTCATTTTATTATAATGTTTGCAATACCGAAAAGGAGTTTTCAGAGAACCTACAAAGTATATGTACTCTAGGTCACCGTAAAATGCTGAGTTGATTAAGTCATACTTGTCCCTCGGTATGTCTATGTGATGTGCGTTGTTGTTACTTCCTTGATCGCAAAAATTAAGATGTCGACTTCAAGTTTAATAGAAACATTTGAAGTTTTTGCACGCAGGTTGGCATTGAAAATAGGTCAAACTGGTCAGAGCAGAAGCCCGCAATGATGAGTGAACTGAACGCAACTCCCTTTTTCTTAACGAAAATTTGTAGATTGTTGCTTAGAAATTATAAAAGTCAGAAAGTTGATAATTTCCTTTGCGGTACACTCTACTCTTTACGTGCAAAAATGGAAAAAGTCGGCCGTGCCTACACTTTTTCACTTTTTTTGCTTATTATTATAAGTCAAACAAGATAATGTTTAAAATCATTTTGTATGTTTGTGCCTAAAAATGGCTTAATTCTAAAATGAATACGGTGGACGTCTCGGGCTGATGGATTAATTTTTTCTTAATAATACTACGGATATGGGTATCAAATAGAAGAACTTGGAGAGTGTGGTGCGAAACGCTAAGCGCGTTAGTTCCAAATTAAATATTTCAGACGTCATAGCGTGGTGAACTAATCTTTTCATTACAATACAGTTGATATGGGACGTGGAGGGTAGAATGTGAGAAGCCAAGTGTGTTAATTGCAAATTAATTGTAGTCGACGTCACGCCTTAGTGGATAAATTTTTTACTAAAAATACTTTTGATGAAGGTATCAAATGAAAGGAGTTGGAGAGTAGAATGCGACAAAGTGTGTTAGTTAGTTAGTATGGCCAACAAAAAGCCTTGGGGTGTTTCGTAAACAACCAGTTTCTTGAACGTTAAAATCTTAAGTGGACCGAGTGTTTATGTAACGGACATGCTAGATTCAGCCACCGTCGAATTTAACTTTTTTATTAATTTTTTTGTTAAGATATCGATTTAAAAAAACGTGAATTTCTGGAATATCGGCCAAGATTTCTGAAGGTTTCATTTGTGTGTTGCAATTTTATGGTCAAATCGAATTCTCGTAAATGTTGTCGTCACTCGAAAAATCGACATTTTGAAACTTGTCCATCCAGCGATCATTTAAATCGATCAAAAATAACCCCTACAAACTAGCATTTACTTTTAAGTTCATGTCAAAAGTAATTTTGAGGGAATTAAAAGCTTAATCTTGTATAGGCAAGCAAGAGCCTCTTCGCAGGCATGCTCATGACAAGTAGTAATCCTTCCAGGTGAATGAATATACAACATAAATATTTGAATTTTATATTATGAAAATTGCCTATATACAAATAAAGTTATTTGAAAGCTCGAAAACTTGATAGCCATACGTCAGTTGTGCAACGGTTGCATAAAGTTGATAATATCAACATAAAAATGTAATGAATTTATATAGTGTACGTTTCCTAAAATATCTCAACGAAAGCTACAAAAAAATTGTAGTTAAAAAGTTTAATTTATTAAAGTATAGTGGAGTATAATATAATGAACGAATTGTTTTTAATAAATTGGAATTAAATGAAATTAAAACAAAAACTTGTTCTTATATATAAATTTATATATATATATATATATATATATATATGTATATATAATCAATCAATGAATATATATATATATATATATATATATATATAATCAATCAATAATCAAATGTAAATAAGAAACTTACCGATACCGAACGGTTTACCCGGAGAATCATCATTGGACGCTTTTCCGCCGAAACTGTGACGACTGCGAACACCAAAATCTCTTATTCCTGGACTTGCTTGAACTAAAAACAAGTAAAATTGATGTTAATATATATAAACATATATACATATATATATATAATAAAATATACATAAAACACGTCACTCAATTAGGTGGTAGAATGTAATGCAGGTGTAATATAAGATGACTGCTACCGAAGGCTAACCTATTAAGCCCTGTACTTTTTGGATAAGATCCAACCTTGAACGAAATGCGTCACAATGTCATGAAATTCTTTAAGAGTTACAACAAAACAAGAGTCGCTAAACAAAAGTAGTGTCGCTAAAATAACTCCAGCTAACGGTCGGAATGTCATGAAATTTTAGACTCATTCCATTTGAAGTCGTGAATCTATACGTCATCGTACGAATGTATTGAGCGATATATTACGTTTCCAAAAATATATTACTATGGTAAATACATATTCATAATGGAAAAATTTTATGAGGAAATCCGACAAGGACGGAAGGACGGATTATGACATAATACTCGTCAGAGACGATTAACTAGTTAAAATTATACATATTCCCAAGGACTCTTTAGATGGTTATAAATTCATAAATAAATTTATAAATATTCATAATTTCTTTCAACACATACCTGAGTGCGGTAGGAATTTCGTGGAAAGTGGCTGATTCAAATCCACAAATGATTCTGAACGTCCAGCATTGAGCAAAGATTCCATAGAAGCATCCAAACGCATAATCTTTGCAAAGATAAACAATAACACATTAATTTCAGTGATCCAGAAAAAGAAAGGTTATGTGTATAATTTATACATATTTGAAATAAATATTTTAATGATAAACAAATAGAAAGTAAAAGGCATACGAAGTTTAAATTCATTATTGCAATTAAAATAAAATAGGTTACGTCTTAATTTTCTTATATGCAAATAGAAAAATATTTTATATGTCTGTGTGAAAAGGTTATATAAATAAGTATGTATATATGTTATGTTACATATGTATGAAGTTAAAAGATCCCTTTAGATGCCTTGGTGAATTAATTAAATGTAATATGAAATTTCAATTGAATTACTCTATGACTCTTGGGTCGTGTTCCTTATTACATAGACTACCTATTCTAGGCACTCATTGAGTGGATATTTGCCTTCAAAACTTATGTCTGCCCGAAAAACCAGAAAGCTTTTCCCGCCCTTCATTTTTTCTAATAAATAATATTAAGTTTGCTTAGAAACAATTTGCATGGAATTATTTACATTTTTTTTTTTTCGAAGCAAACTTACGCCCTTTGTTTTTGGGATGAAGTTTGGATGGATTTACTTGGATATACGTAATATATACATGTCAAAGGCCTAGTAAGTAAGTAGGAGTTTCGAGTTAATAATAAAATTAAAAAAACAAAAAAAAAAAAACTCTACCAAAGGAATGGTTTCTAAATTTACATGAAGAAGTAACACCATTGTAACAGTCCAAAAAAGTGTATCTTGGGATGGAAGGAAAGGTAGTAAAATAATCATATTCGAGAAAGTTGTTAGGCACGCATTATGTAGTAAAAGAAAAAGATGTTTCTTGAAAAGCTATTAAAGGATGGCAGCCGGACAAGCGGACAGACAAGCCAAGTTCGACGCAAAAATGGATTCTGAACACAAATTTAATATGTCTTTGTATCAGAAATGATAAAGGATATAAAAATTGATTTTGCACTATTATCGCCCTTTAAGGGAGGACTATTTTTTTTAACGAGTCATGAAGCCGTTTAAAATTGAGCACAGTGTGGCAGTTTCCTGAAAACCATTTTTTTTGTTTCTGTGGTCGCTTAAATGGTCAAGAATGAAATGAGAAAACGATTATATATATATAGGCATGGCCAAGTTTCAAATGGTCTTAAAATTTTGATTTTCCAAATATAATAAATAACTCCAGCGGTTTTCTTCCCCTTCATTCTTTTCATTTTAAATCTTTAACGACCTGTTTAAAATGATAGCTTTGAACAGTTAATTTAAACCTTAGTAATCGAAAGTCAAAGAATTGCCATTTTTTTTGCTGTAGGGTTGAGCTCCTTCATTCAAAAACTCGCCAGTCATACAAGAGTCAATATATTTAAAATCCTTCGCGTGATACAGATATGGAGTTTAAGTAGTCATGGTTTTTCCTTTAAAATTCAAATTTGGAGTAGTAACACTGTTTACCACAGAGTCGCTTAAATTAAGCGTGGGTAAGGCTCTAGTGTCGCTATTTTTTTAAACTTTTTCAAAAGAAATTTTTTTTTCTAATTCCTATCAACCATAAAATTTATTATTCTATTACCACTCTTTCTTTCCCCAAACTAATTGAAAGAAAAGAACACCTCTTTTTTAGGCCGTTGCAGTGATTTCCCCTCTTAGTCATTAAACGCAAAATTGTGTGTGGAATTTAATGTTCATATTTCATATATATTCATAGTGATATATACTTACACTTCCAGGATTTGGTGCTTCTTTAACCGCCTTACAATTTACAATTTTAACAACAATAAGAGTGCAGTGTTTTGCAGAATATATATGTAACGTAATGTATAAATTTATGATTTTTTTTTTTTTTTTTTTTGATTGTATAAACCGCAGTAACGTGTTTGTTTAGCAATTAGTAAAGAATGTTTGCAATGAACATAAAAGTATACATTAAATATTTAAAGGGTGAAGATTTTTTTTGTTTTTTTTTTTTTTTGTTTAAGAAGTGAAAGCGCGGGCACAGGAGAAGTGAAAGAAAGAACATTTGAGAAAATTTATTTTTAGTAGTTATTCACGAATTATATGTAATAATTAGTGTCAATAAAGAAAGAAATTGCTATCTTTTTCCACGTGTATACGTGTTAGAAGCATAATACAGCAGAATAACTACCAAATGGAATAATAGTAATAGTTTTATTTTTTTTCTTTGTATATACCTGTGAAAAGTTAGGTACACTAACAGTTTTACGCATAGACAATGGTTGTCCGTGAGCAGTTTCCAACTCCTTAACGGCTACATTTTGACGCAAACGATCTAATGTCAGAATGCTCTCGACAGCGGATACGCCACGAGTGTATTTCTCTGTGAGAAGAAGGAATAACGATTTTTGACTACAGCCTGCAATAAGTAACGCTTGACAAGTGCCTACCTATGTATGTTTCACCATCACAAGTTGAACAATCATCACCGCTGGCGGCAAGTTGAGCAAGAGACTCACGATCTTCCAACTCTTCAGACGCCTTTGGGATATTGGAAACTACTTCATAGGTGACGCCTGTATTAGAAATAGCATTCTCAATGCGTACTAAGCGGAACTTTTTTAATCGATCAGTGATACTTTGTCCCTTTTTGATATTAATGCATAAACGTTTGCGCAAAACCAAATCCATGGGAGCTGGATGTGACAGCCTCACAGTTGTACGTAAAATCAAGTATACGCGTTCATTGGCCTCCGTGACGCGATTTAATGCTGGGCTATCATGCATCGATGAATCCCAGCTTGCTACGGCGCAAACATCTTTGTCGAAATGTTGTAAAATTTGTAAGGTATAAAATTTATGACCATGTTCTTTGGAAAGTATAGAGTTGAGACCGGCAATGGAAAATTCATCGTTAGTATTTTGAGCCGAAAGATCGTCTGCATTCAAATTGAGAAATAGCACTGGCACGTGAGGTTCCATACCAGCTGGCGGATCCCAAGAGGCGGGAGCGCCAGGTATTCCAGTGCCCGGTGCCGGTACTAAGACGGCATTGCGCTCTTCGGTTAAGGACACCCACTGATGAACTAAACTGAGTTCACGTTCACGTTCCTCCTCACTTTTCTCTTCTTTTTTGATTAGCTTATGAATTTGCTGATCCAGGTACTGTCGCCGTCTACCCAGCGCTTCGCTCCATTTCTCTCTCAATACAGTAAGATCCTCTTCTTGATATGAATCTAAAGCCCTCTGTAAACGTGAACGGACTGTTACACTGCCAATAGCAATATTGACAATGGACTGGCATATGATTGGTAAAGTTCCTGAATTTTGTACTGGTTTCACGCGCACATGAACGCGACGTTGCTGTCCTTGACGTAGCTGATAAATGCCACCTGTGAGTACTTCGCTACGATTAGTAACTTCAACTGGCGAATATTCACCATTGTCGTTCAGCTCATGAATTTCAACCCATAATTCTATTTTTCGCGACAATTCGGCCCAACGATCCATAAGGGAACGTGCTTTGGCCTGCTGTTGTTCAACTTCCCAGCCTTTAGATTTGGAAAAACCGGCGCTTCGATGGCCCCAAACTTCAATAGAAAGAGCTCCCTCAATGCAGTGCTCAAGAAATTCTTCATTCATGGTTACGGTAAAATCTTTGCTGTGACTAAACTTAAATACCATATTTTGGTCACGAGTTGTGGTCTCGGCATTTATTACAGGCACGACGGTCTCTTGATGACCCCAAAAAGTGTACTGACAGAATACGAAGTTCGATAGAGATAGCGGCAGGCCAGACGCGCACTTAATAGAAACGCGACAAGTTATTTGATTGGCAATGGGATCGGTTGTGTCATCGTAATCATCACGAGAATCCGATGAGGACTCTGAAATCGACTCGCACATACGATCTTGCGGCATTTGTCCAGCAATGCGTTGAATTTCAACTTGAAGTCGTCCAGCGACTTCACCTTGTTGACTTATGATCGGAGTGTGGTAGTCCAATTTAACGTCATGGAATAAAACTTCTAAAAAAATGTTTGCCACACCAATCAAATTATGATTCTCTTGCGTTTCATAGAATGGATCCGAAAACTTTGCATTTTCGTTTTCCTAAGACACATATTATTGCAAAAAAATAATCAAAAATAAATATGTTTAGATGACAAATAAAAGATTTCATAAAATGATGGGACGTCCGTGTAATGAGAACTTGCATTATATTGATTACAATTTTTTGATATTAATTACCTCATCAGAATCATCTTCATCTGGGAAAGCCTCAATAAGAGGCTTAATGGAAAAGCATGATAATGAGATATGGATAAGGAATTTTCGTTTAGTATAGTTTTCCACTTAGATGTGTATATGCGTATAAGGGGATTAATATAAATGGATATTGAAGCTTTACAAGGGATAGTTGTACTTACCAAACCATTCAGTATATGTTCCTTGTGCTCTTGATACATTTCACGCATATCGATTAGTTTATTCTCTAACTTTTCCATACTCCATATTTGACTGCCAGAATTGGTGCGCTTAACTAAAATAGCCGGCTCGCTTACAAAAGCTCCTCGCTAATCACAAAAATCGGAATTTAGTGTTCGATACTTATCGAATTGCTATTATGAAAATTACCCGTCTATTTGGGCTAAGATTGGCTGGTGGTATTTGAAGAGTGACTGAGAATTTCGTTTTTTTTTCCATCTCTTCGGCAAGAAAGTTGGCTTCCTGCACTAAGGCATTAGCTCTCATGATATCGTTTTTCAATTGACCTAACGAGCGTTTAAACATTTCGTCACGTTCTTGAGCCCATTTTTCGACCCGCATTTGTGAAGTAGGTGTATTAGGTGTGATTTTACCCAATCGTAAAGGATCGTAAGGTGTATAAGGGGCGTACGGTGTGCTTGGTGACAAAATATTGCGTAATTGTTGAAATTGTCTTTCGTACTCCTATTAATGAAAAGGGCTAATAATATCAAAGAAATAGTTTTTAAAAATAGATTGACACTCACTTGTCTTTGCTTTTCGAGAGCAACTTGTTTATCTTCTTCATGTTGACGTTCAAGTCTGGCTATAGCAGTTTGTATGGGATCATTGCTCAACTCATTCTGCATAATTTCATCTCGAGCAAAATTGTAATCTATTAATTGAGCCGGAGTCTGAGGCTCAGAATTCATGTTTGCATTTGATTTGGGACAGTTAACACGGAAAAAATGATGATTACCCCATAGGATTCGGTCACCGTTGTGGAGTGGGGTCTTTTCAATAACAGCTGAACCGTTAATAAAACATCTTGCTCCCGTAAATGGTTCCATTAAGAGGCCGCCTTCCTCAATGATGATAACACAGTGCTCTGGCTGAATGCCTAAGCCCGACAATTGTATATCGGGCTGTGGACCGGATAAGGTGTGGCCACCGATCAATGTGCGTTCCTTAAGATAATAAACTAACAACTCATTCAAGGACGGATCTGCATTTAAATTGACTAAATAATATTTGTTTTTTTCAACCATAATACCGCTGGCTTGTACACTTATGCCCATCTTCTCCAAAGCTTGCTGGCGTTCATTTTGTATGCGTTCAGTTTTAACCAGCTTTTCCTCCCAAGTTTGGGAAATTTGTTTCATAAGATTCTCACTCTCGGCGAGTTTATCGTGTATGTCAACACGTTGTATATCGCCCACCGGGGAACCAGTCGCATGTTTGAGCATATTCCGTAGAGTTTCCACCTCGAGCCGCAATTCCCGTATAATCCGAGCATTGGGATCTTCATTAACGACGGCATGATTGACAATACGTTTAGCGCGATCAGCATAGCGAAGCGTAGACAAGGTCTCCTCATAGTTATCGGCCGAGGGCGAAATTGTGGCCACCATAACAGTTCTTGAATTGCCTCCTAAGTTGTCTTTCAATAGCCATGTTAAAACCGAATCGCGATAAGGAACAAACTTGTCGTTGCAATGTTTTTTACTATTCGATTGATCAGCCAATTTCGAGATAACTAAACCTAGAGTTGTGAGCGATCTGTAATGGATAATATAGCGTACAGGGGGCGTTGTTTGTATAGTACTCTATAACACTTACTTGTTAATATTGGACCCCTCTTTTAGACGTTCACCTACAGCACCGGTTTTGACGGCTCTCTCAGAACCTGCCAAATCAACTAAAGACATACGCGATACTTTCTCGCCCGATACTCCGGTACTTTGATCAGTTAATATTTGTGTAAGTACCACAGAAAAAACTGCATGTGATCTAGAGGACTCAGCGTTCATGTTAGTAGCAGCTACTGTGCGCGATTTATTGCCTTCAGTCATAAGATTGTCAATATCCTGATATGAAGTGACGGCTAACTGAGACAATCCGTCAACGTATGGACCTAAAACGTTGTGCTCGCGAACTTTTAACGATTGCTTATTTGGCTTTGGATCTAACAGATCGTGAACTTTCTCATTATAAATTTCCATATACGATACTTCAACCTTGTACATGAGATCCTGTGAGCTTTTATTAGCAATAGCCAAAAATAGATTATCACACAAACGTGGAATGATACCTTTATACTCTTGAGTTCCCATCATTGTGTACGATTTACCAGAACCTGTTATTTATAAGTACATAGTTGGAAGATTAGAAACCATACGACGTAAGTTTTTATACCAACCCGTTTGGCCATAGGCAAAAATGCAGGCATTATAACCCTGGAATGCATTATCAAGTATATCACGACCAACGCAATCAAATACGGTCTCTTGCGAAGCAAAGTTTTCATCATCACAATTGATTGAATAAAAGCAATGATCAAATGCAAATGTCTTAGGAGGTTTCCTGCTATAATATAAACGAGATGAACACAAATATTAGAAGTAAATAAAGTACATTTGAAACAAATATAATGAATGACCTTCTTTGCCTTTATCTTCCATGAATTAACTAATCTGTCAGCTATCTACAGATTTTAAATTCATCAAAACCGTTAAAGTGGATATCGCAGGCAAAATTTATCTTGGTCTTTCCTACCTATTGCAAATGCAGAGTCGATCGTAAGACAAGTTTAAACTAATATGACAACAACGAGTGATAAAATTTCTCTTTTCTGATTCCCACCACAATTGACAATTGTGTTCAGTGTTGCTTGGGAAATCATCATGGGCAGGTAGGTACACTTTCGTGTAGCCTACAGAAATTGTTGCAATTTATTGCGAAAATAATGGACGAACGAACTCGGGTCAAACGGCCGTGTTTTGTCAGAAACGAGAAGGATATGAGATAGGCCCATCTTCGATTATACCGATCGAGTCAGCATCACTCTCTGAATCCATCTAAGCTTGTCCGTCTGTTCGCCCAATATACTAGCGTCCAACTTACAGTCGCAATTTTTGCAAGTATTTTGATGAAATTTGATACAGGGACAAATTTTGCGACTAAGGACCATTGCCATTGAGAATGGTTCGGATTGGAGCATTTTTTCTACCACTTCACCTGTAACATATTATTTTAAGAGTTCGCCACATGAGTAACTGCATTAAGCGAAGTAGTGCAGGGTATGTGACAATGAGCCATGGCCCATCATAATGTGGTTTCTTGGTTTTAAATATCGAAAATAAAATAAAAAAAAATTGTATTAATCTTATTTGATCACCTTTTATATATAATATGAAAAATTTTGATTATATCTACTCATATGTCGAATATAATAGGCCCCGATGCATATTTTTGATGGCTACAAACCAAACGAAAAAATATTATATAACCAATGAAAGCTATTTTGAAAGTTTTTATGTACTTATGCACGTATACGATTATTGAGCGCTCTTCTGTGCATTTTTCATTTTATTTTTTGTTACTGTAATCAGCAAGCAAACTAGTCGCGATAATTTTTTATTACAGTGTTAAGTAGAGTAAATAACCTAAATAAAAAAAAAAAATAAAAAAAATAAAAAAAAATTATAAATTAGAGTTGACTCGCAATTTGCTAAACGTCAGCAGTTTCGCTTATATGTAATATCATAAACTATAAAACGATGCGCTTACGACCTCATTTCCATTAGCTTGACATAAATGTAGAAATGCTTAAGCAGAATCTTAAATCTAAAACCTTATATTCGCGCTCAGCCTTTGTATATATTTTTTTGGATGAAGAAAAACATTAAGAAAATCACTTAAGAAATAATTTCATTCAAAGCTCCTTTCCATTAGCTTGAAAGGGAGATACATAAGAAATGCTTAAATAGAATCTAAAATCTAAAACCTTATATATTGATCATATATTCGTGCTCGGTCTTTATATGGTTCTTACATGGAGGAAGACATTAAGAAAGTCGCTTAAGAAATAACTTCACTAAAAAATACCTTTCCAGCTTGTCCAATGCGGGTGGATTGTGTAGAATGGTTTGTTGCTTCTCCATCTCCACTATACATTTTGTGTCGAGTTCAATTTCTAAAAGAAAAAGAAAAAAATTATTAAAAACTTTTTGTTAGCATTCATATTAAATTATTTCAAATCAAATGCTGCGAAACAAGGAAACTGCAATTGGGTCAATCCTTGTTCGATGTGTATTGTCTTTGGAAAAATTTTCTATTTGATTTTGAAAGCTGTATGTGTTCAAAAAAAAAAGTGGCTTTGCCGTCAATATCTGTTTTCTGTCCCCTTCAAAACAGTCCCCGTTAGAGGTAATGCATTTTTCCGATCCTTGAACGGCTTCTAATATGCCTTTTCTGGTATGGCCTTGAGTTCTTCTCTATCTGATTGATCGCGGCAAAACTACATTCTTTTTGGAAGTGGAAAAAGTTCGCAGGGGCCAATTTCGGTGAACACGGTGGCTGGCCCATGTTTACAGTGTTGTTTTCAGCCAAAGAATGACGAACAAACAAGGACGCATGAGCTGGCGCATTCGCCGCCATACATTCGGTGCCCAAAATATCCGAAAAAAATGCATGGCGTGAGTCAACCGATATACTGATATTTTCAGCAACTTCTCTATTCCATTATTCTCCATAACATACTTTTCTTTAATAATAACAATCTTGATATTAGATCTTAGCAAGTTCTAAGAAGTAGTCTTCACGACGATTGATTGCTGCTATATGATGTAGCTTTTGTTTACTATAAGTGTCTTTCAACGCTAATTACACTTCACTTGTAAACGGTTTTTCCATTGGGGGCAGAGGGAGAATGGATGCTGTAAGTTGACAGTTTCATTTTTTAACAATAAGACTAGCGTGCACGGACGAACAACTCAACCGACATGGCTACCTCAACTTAGAAACTTACACTGATCAAGGTTGCATATACACAGTGTGTTCAAAAAAAATAAAGGAGAGTTTTCGAAATTTTGTAGGCAACATATATTTGAATTTTGAATTGGTTTTTTTTTTTTTCACTATTAGGTTAGTACACAAGTGCCCAGCGTATATTAACATTATCAGTCATTTTGCATTTTTAATTTGTTTTTAATAGATATACAGGATAGAGGCGTCTTGGTGTGCTTGGCGATTTTTTTCTATCAAAAAATATGGATCAGAGAATCCGTATGCAATAGTTGGGCAAGGCCGAGCGTTCAATACTCTACACCACATAATTCTTATTCCTGTATGAAGTTACTATATGGATCAATTTTCGAATGGAATTTTTGTCATACGAACTTTAGTTTTCGCTATATGAGAGAGGGTTCAAAAAATTACCCCAGCCGAGCCAAAGTTTTCACACCAATTTAGAATGGCGAAATACTATTACATAGCCTTTTTTGTCGAGAAATTTTGAAAATTGCTATTTTTTCCATATAACGACATTTCAAAAAGGGGCGTCAAATAGAGTTCGCTCTTGGGTTAAAGCAAATTTCATCAAATTAAATCAAAAATTATCATCTGTAGCTTGAACGGAAATTTACATGGACAGACATCAGACGGACAGACTGACTTAGAAAATGATTCTGAATCAGTTAGTATAACAAAAGATGAGTCCATTTTAAGCCTTTCTACATGTTACCTATGACCGCGCAAACTTAATATAGACTGTACCATAAGTGGTGTAGGGTATAAAAACTTGGAAAGTTCGATTTGTTTAATTTGTCATATTACGTGTACATTCGTATGAGTAATAATTTTGCGAGGAATTTATTTTTGTATCAATGATGATCTGAACAGTCCGAACCAAACTTAGAAGTTGAAAATAAATTTGCTTGACAAAGCAAAAAACTGCTATGACAAACAGACAAAGAGTTAAATGGACGACAATTTGTCTAATCTTATTGTGATACAACAAATGCAACGTATGAATCATGAATTGCCTGTAAATGTAGAAACATAAAAGTTAAGAATCAGTTACGTGGGTCAGCGTCTCCGATTTTTTTCATTTTTGAACATATACAGTGCGAATATACGTTGCATTTCACCAACAATGGGGGAAAGCTCCTTCGAGCAGAGCTGCTCGCAACTTATGTTGTACTGCAGACAGTACAGTGTCTCTTCATAGGCTTGGTTTGAAGAAAATTTTTAACGAACAAATCCATGCAGATGTGTCTAGATTTATTCAGAACTTGATATTCAGCGGAAATATGATTTATAGAGTTTTTGAACTCAGAATTCAGAATGGGCTAAGTCATGTCTGTCCGTCTGCTCTTCTGATCTGAAGATGCTGGTGGAAATATTGAAACCTTCTGTATGCAGGTTCGTCAAATTGGTCAAAGCACGCTCGCAGTAATGCGTAAACTGAACGTAACTCCGTTTCTCTAAGCAAAAAATTTGTGGGCTTTTTCTTATTACTCACAAATTATCAGAGATAGAAGGTTAAAATTTTCTGCACCTACTTTGCGGAAAACATTACTATTTATGTGCAAAAGGTTATAAGTGATTAAGTTTTCTTTTTCTCACTTTTTTGGGGTTTCATGTCCTCAATGTTTAAAACTATTTTGTACATTCCTTAAATGAGGTGAAGAAGATCTGGCTAAAAATACGTTAATTCTAAAATGAACATGGTAGACACAGTTGCGGACGTAACAATACCTTTCAGCGAACTAAAAGGTGGAAAATAAATTTCATCCCATTCACTTTTTTATTAACCATAAATAGAAGCATGAAGAGATCCGGCCCACGGGGATTGTAACTTTTTACTTGCTATGATTATTACGATTAGTTCAGACTAATGAAAGCATAAAAGACAACAAAATCGTCTTTAGTTTAGAAAATACAGACTTGTCTATAATTGCAGATTAGAGGAGAAGACCACTTTAGGATTCATTGATTTGTGGCCAAGGCGAATCCTTGTCAATGATCTAATTTTGATTTGGTCAATATGTGTCTCCAATTTCAACTTAGCCAAGTAAAATTGGCATTTACCAATCTACAATCATAACGTCTCGCTATGCTAGAGCACCAGCTTCAGACAACACGCTAGCCGTTATCTTTGCAAGAAAAATTTGCGTAATATTTATTGGATATAATGGAGCCAGTAAGGGTGCTGATAAAGGAGTAGTGCTAATGATAGTATTGCGGATTTCCTTTCATAACTTTCTCTTTAATTTTCCTCCCAACGTATCTTTGAATGTTTCACAGTAAACGTATAAATAAATATGTAACTGAATTGCAGCCAAATCAAAATGCATCACATCATTCGATAAGCAATATGGAATTTTTTTTGTTGTTTAGCGTATTGGTGTAAAAACGATCACTTCTGAATCGCCATCGGTGATTGTTTTCCATCGCCAAACAATGGGTAGAGTAAATATTAGTTAATTATTTGAATGTCTTTCAATTCATGTGACACTCAACTAGCTTTCATTGACTCGTAAAATATTTTAAAAGCATTTCATCTATACTGTGTGGGATATATATATATGCAACTGCTCGCTCTACGATTCCTAGCCAAAGGATATGCACTTAATTGTGACTTTGAAATATCGCTAAGCCTTAATAGACTTTTTTTTTTGCTTTTAGGAAATGTTTTTTTGTTTTTCCGCTCTAAAGTAATAGCTGCAAGCATAGTTGAATGTGAAATGTGAATTTAATGTAAATATATTCTTGTCCACCTTATTTATAATATAAGCCTTATTTCCTGTCTTTGTTTGTGTTGCTGAGAAAGTTAGTTGGAAAGAAAGGTAAGGTAATAAGAGCTCGCTCTTCGTATTTCATACGCTTTGTTTACTTTTTATATGTACTTTAGCTTGCAGATATTTATTTATGTGTATAGATGTAGGTGTGTGTACATGTATAGCATGTAAATGCTAAAATAAAGTCATACTTACCACGCCGGTTGAAGGGTCGTACCCTGACAGCAACTTTGATTTTATCCGTTGACATTTTGGGAGCTTTTGTAGTTTGTACAGCCGTTAGCGGTGAGATGCAAATACAATTTGCAAAGCTGTTGGTTTATAGTGGTCGACAGGGCATTAATACCAATAAACACATGTATACACAATTACACTTTCTGTATATAAGTATTTCAAAAAAATGCAAATAAAAATAACCAAATCAACGGTCCAACTCACTCTATCTGAATGCATATATATGCGTGTGTGTAATGGTGTATGATATAAGACGGTTTGTCAGGCGATTACTTTTCTTATACGACATTAAATGCAATGTTTTGCGATTTAGTTGACGGATAAGCTTACGAAGCAATATTTTGAGTTCAGGTTGAACGAGTAGAAAGGAAAATTATATCACAGTTCTAGGTGTACATTTGAGTACAGGTATTCGTTTATGATTTCATATGCTCTGCTTATATCGCTGGAAATTGTTGTTACTTTTTTAACTACATAACAGGCGAAGTATTAAAGTCTAGTGTGGGCTAAGAATGAGTGTGTGTTTCGCATGTAACCAAATGATTCAGACACCTATATAAACAGACAGCAGTCAATTAATAGAAACCATTTTTTTTAAATAACAAATCCCTTACTTTCTTTGCCTTCGTAACGTTAACGCGTTACTTTATCTGTTTGTCATAATATTCCGCTGTTACATTACATTTACATATACTGGTCTCTACTTAAATAAAAACCACACATGCAAAGCTGGAAACAGAGGTATACCTTACGAAATTCAATGGAATTGATGAAAAACTTTTGTATTCGATCATAAACCTGAAGACGGGTGAAAATTACGAATTAGTGCTGAAATGAGTTTTAGGATATGTATGTATGGAATAGTTCCCTGTGATTCTATGGAAATATTTCTTGAAATCTTGTTGACATTCTATTTAAAACAGCAATGTGTTACAATCAACAATCGACTGTGGCAAGCGTCAGCTTGCGAAGGTCAAGTTTTTATAATACTTCGAAAATTGAGACAAACATGTATATTCACACTTTACATATAATTCTGATTGACTTAAGCAGAATGCTAATCCATCACTGATAAGAATAGTAAATAAAGGCATCAATGTTTCGCAATCATTTGAAGTTCAGGTCCTCATTACCGTTATTATAACCAATTTAGTCAGAGAAATATATTCAATGTCTAAAGTCTTAAAGCGCAAGCATCTCAGGCTATCGACTTTTGTTGAAAACTCTACCGCACTTGAGATTTGAACGCACGACCATATTAAGTTGTTAGTAGAGATCCTTATCTTACTCGGCTACTCAGGCGAATACTTTGGCATAAAACTCCAAAGGTTGCAGCATATGCCTATGTATGTGTGTAAGCATACGTAGAGTGTCTTCGATGTAATACATTTATTTCTCTTTGGATTGAGGCGTAAATAGAAAAAATCAAACACAAACTCTTTGTTATGAAGAAGGTGACAAAAAGCGACATACATTACATTAGTTTATGCGAAATTTGGCTCATTCTACTAAAAGAGTAAGAAAACGAAATTAGTTTTTCCTTTTTTTAATGCTTTGACTACAACTCACGACCCTTTCAAATGTAGGCTTTTTGTGCAATTTATCATCACTGAGTATAATAACCTCTTTTCAATTAAGTGATTTTGAACATATTGAAAGCAAAATCGGGGCTGAATTGACGCAATATCTTAAGCTTACGAAGATAGAAGCAATCGGAATGAAAAACTTAGCATACCGTCGCACCGAGTCGGGTGTCAATATCTCATATTATGGAATAATTCGTCGCTTGTACCTGTAAATAGTTTTAACTATTGCGACATACACCACACGCACACACACGTACATGCATTAACATTAACAATGATTAAGTTACTCAACAAGGTGTTTGAGACCTTGGAGACGACAAAGGATAACTTTTATTTTATATTTTTCTTTAGTAATATATTTTTTTCTTTCTTTGTTCGAATTTATTTATTCAGAGTTTTTTAAATTACGATTCATACGAGACTTCGGTAGTTTCACACAGGTTTTTCTCTCTTTCATTTCATCGCATTTTTCTCATACTCTTTTTACATACAATTTACTTTATTCATACCCGTACTTAGAACTCTTATCTTTGTTAGTGAATATTAATGCTAATTAATACTTATGACGTCTTTACATATGTATGCATATATTTTTTCACTTTTACTAATATTCTTAGCAACTTTTTATTTCATTTTTTTCTCGTATACTATCAACTTTTTTGTTCATCCAATGTCGAACACATATACATGGCACGGATGAACGACTTTTTGTAGAGACGAACAAACACTTCTTTCCGAATTTTTCAAAATCGATTTTTTATTGAAGATATACTTTTTCCTTTTTTAATTCTGAAAAACTTTTAATTCACCTCGATTGCGCTTAACTCGTGTTCTTGTTAATGGATATCTTTTTCTTATTCCATATGCCCGACCATTCCTACAATGTAATAAATTTTATTAATGAACTTCAACGTTTTGTAAAAATATTTCCAACACATAAACTTTCTTCTTAGATAGACAAATAGACATGAGAGTTTCCAACGGGTTTATGACATACAAGATTTATTAGTTTAGGATTTCGTGTTACAAGTAGGAATGCAAACAATTTCAGTTAAAAAATTTCGTGGGATAAAATTGACTGATTTTTTACCGAAAAACATTACCTTTGGCAATGCTTCGTTTATGTTTATTGAAATCCTTTACAATAGTTACAGTTTTTAATAGATGAATGCAAACGTTTTCTAAAACGAATGAATTAAAACGAGCAAACTTTTATTAGAGATATCGTTTACTAAATTAGAAAAACCAACGTGCAAATTTTCACTGTTCAATTTGAAAACACAATTATAAAACTGTGTGACTATTGCCGATCTTGATGCTTTCAAAAAATAAACGTTGTAAAACGGTGGAAGGAACTAAAGAACAAAAATTATTCATAGAATCTATTGAAAAGTTGAAATTCGATAAGGCTTACCTTGTCTACTGACTGTCGTCACTATCTAACGCATAAACTGTTTTCATTTTCACATATGACAGTTCACTTTTTATATTGCAAGACATTTTTTTTTCTTCTATATTTTTGCAGAATTTTTTTGAGTGGGCAAGTAAGCCATTCTTATTGGCTTAATATAGCTAATTTCAATAAACAAAAGAAAAATCTTTCCAACTTATTTTACTTTCAAATTAAAAGAGAGGAAGAGTGAATGAAATTTATTGTTAGCAACTGCTTCTCCAAAGTGAAAAATAGCAGTACCAAGCAGTACCACGTACTCATATCTGGCAACGCTCGAATACGTTGCATCCAGAAAAATTTCCTTCTGGAAAAAGAAAAACAAAACAGGACCTGTTGTTATCAGATTGCAATAATAATTAACTTTTCGATGATTCTATGAGATATCAGCCGTTGTAAACAATGTGTTTTAGTATTAAATTACAAATTTAATTTAAACCAAAAACTTCGTTCATTACAACTAGGCCGCAGCCGCTATAATATGATTAAAAGCTTCAAGTTTAGAAAGAAATGAGGGAAAATACTTCGAAGTAGACAAAGTAAAAGAAAAATATAACGAAAACGTCTAGAAAAATTTGTAAAAAAAAGCCAAACTTGGCTGACAACTTATTTTATTCCTTATAGCATGCGGCATTTTGTCATTCAAGCGGCAGGTTGCTCTTGGAATATATTATCCCATTCAAAGAGTTAATATTATTTTACCTTTGGCATGATACACTAGAGCTGGCCGAGAGGAGAGGAAAGAGGATGTCAAGCTCGCGGCATTAAGCTGATTTTAACGGTATACAGTACTTCTGCTAAATTAAGATTTTGCTTACCTTATATTTATTTAGTATTTCATTAAACCTTTTTTAGTGAAGTTGGTGTCACACCGTGGTCGAACTTGGACGAAAATGTTGAAATTTGTGAGAATTTTTATAACTATGAAAGCTTTTTTCGTCAATTGGCACAAAATTAGTAGGCATGAAAAAATTGCATTTTTTTCCCTTACGATTTCTAAAAAAAATATATATTTTCCAGTTTTCGCTAGAAATTTCATCAATTGATATTAATGTCAAAGTCAATTTGATAATTATGATTAGAGTTTAAATAAAATTGACAGCGGTAATGATACAATAAAAATTAATGATTACATAAAGTGATTATCATTCCCATTGCAGTTGATCAATATGTTGTCGAATATTTCTTAGAATGAAAAAATATTTATTGGAACATTTACTTTGTACAATTACACTTGAAACTAGTATATGCTTTGGTAATAATTTTTTGTAAGTTGCGCTAAATTTATAAATTAAAATTTTTCATGCCAATAATGCATATCGGCGAATTCACAATGTGTACATATTCTTGACCACCGTAGAATTTTACACCAATTTAATTGCTTGGCCTCCATAGGAGAAGTTTAAACCGTTTGTGGGTTGAAAAATTTAAATCATCTAAAAAATGTCGACTGATTTAAGAACATATTTTATTTACAAATACAGAGTGGACTATAATCTCAGTCGACCCGATTCGCAACAAGCTTACCATTTTAATTCCAATAACATAGTGTTCTAATATATCATGTTTTTATTTAAATAATTCGTTAAACTTCTTGTATTTTTTTTTATCCCGATGCTCCTAATCTGTGATCATTAAATATTTGTTTGTTTACAGGTAATTTGCCAATTTTTTTTACGTTGCAATTTGATGTAGCTTCCCGTTTAGCTGTAAGTCCTTGCTTATTGTGATATTGGCTTTATTAGGTGAGTCCTGAAGAAACATAAGAAATTATGTTATTATTAAACTTTATAAGGATGAAGCCACAATGTCGGAATTTTTTAATGAAACTGTATTGTAAATCATTACTTGTGAGCTGTTTTATGTTGCTATGCATACTTTACTAAACGCATCTGGTCGCCATACGTTTTTTAAAAGCACTGTATTTTGGTTCAGTCTTTTCCTAATTCTCGAACTTAGAGTTTTAAGATGACTTAATGAACGTGAACGTTGATCTATATTACAATATAAATGAAACAAGTAAAAACGATGCACAGAGCTGTTTCCGGAAGACGTGTAACAAAAAATAAGGAAAAGACTGCATTTAAAATAAGAAGGTGAATTTACAATTGATGCAAACATCGCAGAAACGTGGTTTGTCAGATGAAAAATCTATTTGTGATATATTCATTTCAGCAATTGTTTTTGTGAAATGTAATCAGTGTTAAGTCATGCTAACGAAAAACTAGATGACGCCTCATCTTTAGTACTTTAGTACTTTAGACAGCACAATATTATTGTTTGATAACCTAGTTTATTAAGTCAAGACTTAGATTGCTGGGGGTAAGCATAAATTATAAATAAATGAATTCTAACAAAAATATATTCATCGAATTAATTATAAAAGTTATATAGTGAAGGTCTATAAAATATACAGATACTTGGTTGGCGCGAATATTTCAATCGACATAATCATGTCTCTATTTCTTCGTCCGTCTCTTTTTATTAACGCTCACCATATTAAAACTATATTCAAACGAATAAACTGATCGGCAGGGAAGCAGCATAATCGGCCCATAGATTTTTCCAAAAATGCCCAAAAATGTACTGAAAATTGTAGAATTTTTGTTCTTCAACTTGAGTTATAAAACGTTCGATTAATTAAACATGTCCATCACGTGCAAAGATGAGCTAAATCGAAGCAAGGTTTCGCCAAACAGGTCCAATAAAATGAATATAATTAGTACGGCTTTTATTTAGTAAAAATTGTCTACACAAAAGTGTAGGAAAGTGTAATTTGAAATACATTTGATACCCGATATGGATAATACGATATATATTCCATACATCGAGTGAAAAGACTTTCGCTTATATCTTGACAATCAAATTTCATGCAGAGCCTAATGGTGAGAATTAAAGAAGCTTTTTTGTATTTCTGAGCGGATTGAGTTATGTAAATACATTATTATTATTATTATTACTATTACTATTAATTTAGCCAGAGAAATAAATTCTAAGCACTAACATCTAAAGGCTATCGGCTTTATGTACGTGAAAAACACTATAGCATTTAAATATTTGCTTCTTCCTATGGATCATCGACTTTGTCTTTTACAATGTTTACCTATTTGTTTACGTAAGCAATGATTATTCAATTACGTGATTATAAAGAAGTAAAAAGTTATAGTGAGCAACGGCCCATCATTAAAATACCCTACAGCACTTCTTTTACGCTTAAACAAATTATCTTATGACTTTTCAATATAAAGCATTTCGTGGAAAGTGATCGATCGATCCGATCCGAACCGTTTTCTAAAGTCTTCGCCGTTGAGTCAACACACGTCAGTGTACTAAAATTCATCAAAATATCTCAAAAACTGCGGCACGACCACACCAGTGACAGATAGACGGGCAGGCAGAAGAGCTTAAACCGATTCAGAAATTAATTCTACCGGCGAATCGATCAGTGCGATATAAGGTGCATCTATGTTAAGTCTCTCCGGGTGTTGCATACATGGGCATAAACTTAATATACCCTTGTAGTAGTATAGGGCATAAAAGTATATAATAAAATATATAAAAAGCCACATGTAACATATAATCCAATACAATAAATATATACTAATAATTATTATATATATTATTATTTTTATTATAATTGATTTAGCCAGAGAAATAAATTCTAAGACTAAAGTTTTAAAGCACTACCATCTGAGGCTATCGATTTTTGTTGAAAACTCTACCACTTTGAAGGTTTTTGACACAAACGCGTCTCAACACTTTTTCGCCAATATGCTCTTCACGAAGGTTACTCACAAATAGTACGCCTTTCGCTAATGGATTTGGCATTTAATCTTTAATTGTAATGTACGCTTTTCTTTGGTGCGATTGTTGTCCACAATGAGAAAGAGTACGCCCTTTTAAGTTGAATCTTTCCGAATTTCCGAAATATGTCAAATATGCCGCCCTTAACACGTATGTATAAGTATATAATATAAAGTTTTTGTATTATATTATTTATATATTATATGCTAACCAATAAGAGAGATTTCGTAAATTCTGGGTGAAAAAAAAGTTGGAATCATGTTCAATAAGAAATTTTCTTTTTACGGTTAACGAGAAAGAAAATTAAAATTTTACTATAAAATTGAGTGCTAGTGTAAAGCTTTTATAGCATTATTCGAGCTTTTCGTTTTTTTTTTTTTTTTTTTAACTAAACCCTTTAGCGAACAGAAAACGTATGTAAATTTTCGTTTTCATTACGGTAGTATTGGTGTTGATAACGATAATGACGATCATCATGAATATGGACCAAATTTATAAAAACTTTAAGTTTAATGCAGTGGTGCGTATTTGGTCATTACAAGTCGATAGGTTAGGAAGTAAAATACCTACGCGCGCGTTAACAACAGTTCAGCGAATATAAAAAACAAGAGGGAAAAGATTACGTACGCAAAAGTAAACGATATATAAATGAGAAATAAACAAAGGTATATATAAATATATCTATATATATATATAAAAGCGAGCACATCTAAACAATCACATACATACGTGCTCATCAATATGTTTGAACTGACAAAAATATACATATATACATATATATATATATATATTAGCAAACATACATGTATATATATATATATATAAACAAATATTTAACTAGTGGATAATAAATTATATAAAGAAATTATTAAAAAAAAAAGAAAGAAAAAAGAAAAAAGTATTAAATCAAAGAAACGAACGAAATCCTGTGAAAGTAAAAGTGTCCTTGTGGTGTATTAACGCAGCCATGCATGCACGTGCATAACATGAAATTCATTTGTCCACATTATTATTGGTTTTGTAGAGACTAGTTTATAACCCAGTTTGTTTTTCTTTCACGTTTGCATTAAAATATATTACGAAAATATATTTTTAATTGGATCTCTTGTGGACTGCGGCAAAATTTCGTAAGCATAATTAATGGACAAGAGACAAATAAACAAATAAACAAACATATTGAAATGAATCATAAAAGTCAAGGTTGTTGTGTCTCCATGATGCTTGATCTTTACGCTCTGCATGTTTAATACATAGCTAAAGAAACTAAAGAAAGCCAAAATTTGAAAAGTATACTCATAACGATGATATCAAGAAAGAAGTGTTAAATAATGTATTAATTGTTATGCTCAAATCCAAACTTATGCGGTTAGTTGACAGAGAGACAAAAACTCTACATTTACCTTAAATGATTTAATGTTATGTTGATTTAAAGTATATATAAATATATTTATATATATATATATATATATATATACCTATATATATTGATAAGTTAAGCCCCATAACAATATTCGAAGCTTTATTCGGTGAATATAGTAATTAACTTGTAGTTTAACGTACCATCTGCTTGTGCATTAAAAATTTGATTTTTATTGCTCCAGTAAGTGTTAATAAGAAATTAAAACATGTTCATGAAAATATTTGATTGCTTTTAAAAATTATTCTAAGTATGTTTCCTCTTCTTGTCGATAGCTTCAATATAACTATTATAAGATTGTTATATTGAAAAAGTCATTCATTCAAATCTTTTTGCAAATATCATCAACGACGTAGCTTGTAGCGTAAGCTTGTTCTCATTCATTTTTGGACTTTAATTTCCTTTGCTTACTTCTTGTTTACTCGAACGATGCTTCGATTCTTATGACGGTGCCCAAGTATGACCTCCTTTAGGGGTAACCTTAAAAGACGCGACTTTTTTCGAAATGGAATTCGAAAAGTGCCCAAGCAATGGCGAAAAGTCTTAGCTAACGCTGCCCAATACTTAATAAAATAAAATACATTGTACCAATTTCTCTGGGTAAACTCAAAACTCATGTGTAGGTTGTATCCGAAAATTTTTATGATTGTGTTTGCTCCGGCTTATAAGTAACGAAGTCATGTTTATGATTCTCAAGGTCGAGTAAACTCGATGGTTGCATATTAGGGATTCGCTGCAACTAGTTGAGAGCTTACAGCCATCCTCAAAGTGAAAGTGTGCATTTGTCTTACCATCGGAAGGAAAATCTTTCGATTCGATAAAATCGGAAGTGAGTGTAAAGTGGATGCGATGCTTACTGTGCAGATTTCCAAAGTCATTTACTAAGCATAAAACTTGATTTGTAACCTTATGAAGTTTCCAAAATAAAGACTGTATGTTAGATAGTTGAAAAGAAATTTTCTGTTGATCAGGTAGAGTCCATGTGATAAACTTGAAGGTTTTCCTTTCCAAAGTTTCATTTAATTCGTAATTGCTTTATGAAAAGTGTGAGGCTCATCGATTTATATATTGAAACAAAGATTGAGAAGACAATTTTGAGGTCCAAGCTGAAGGTCCACTATTGCTGTCCTAACAAGTGCGCTTCCAACAGCATTCCATCTTCAACTCAAAACTGTACATATTATCCCTTCTAGTTTATGAATACAAACTACGCGCAAGCATTTAGAGAGAAATTGGTTGTAAAGTCTGTCAATATCGTCAGATATCTTCATGACATAAAGCGAAAGTAAGTTTTTCATAATTTGTAGAAAGTTTCGCGCTTAAGCATAAAATTGAATGCAAGCGTCAGGAAGGAATATCCAAGTTATTGATTTCACGGAGGCCGACAGGATGCTGCTATTCAACCTCATACATCTCGTGGATACTAATTTTTAATAGATAGGCTAGGTCTGTGGAATCAGTCGTCACCAAACGATTAGAAAAGACTGCAGCTAATGAACCCGCCAAAGAGTTTTCTAAATGACAGAAACAAGAGGGTAGCGATATCTAACATGTGCTGAACTTTCTTGTTTCTTTTTTTAAAGAACCATCCGCCAAATTAGAGAGAAGATTCATTCGCCTCATATCGTATGTTTTTTTATATATTTTTTGCGTTTGAAATCATAATTTTTATGTACTAACGTAGATAATTGTTCAAATTATATTTGAAATCGTGATCGTATTGTTATGCCATAAATTAGATAATTGTTCAAATTTAAAATCATTTTGTTATACATGGTCTCGTTTTAAGACTTAAGTCTTAAAATTTATTTCTCGGGCTAAATTGACGGTGATAACAATTAAGAAAGTTATTTTCGACTGGCGTCGAATTTCGTATATGTACCACCATTGAAATTTTTGGCTCCCCATGCTTTTATATATTTTTATAAAAAAAGGAATAAAATTGGAATAAAATTGGGGGATAACATTTATCTTTGGCCTTTTACTTCACGGGTATATGATGGACTTTGTCCTTAAGTCGTAATAAATAAATAAATTAATTATACTATTAATGCAAAAAGGAATTGACGGACAGCCTTCCCTTTGGCCGATTGATAGAAAATGTCTGGTAAGTTAATTAATACATGCAAAAATGGAAAAGGGATATGACGAATAAGTTTTCCCCTTTTACCTATTTTTTACTTTCGAACACATGTCACGGATGCCTGCGGGTAATGGTGGTAATTGATCAACAGCACAGTGGAAGCCTTATGGCGGAAGCAGTCAGTTGATCAATTTGTGAGTCCTGACTGCTTGGGTGCGGCCCTTCGGGGAGTACTCGTGGTGGTTGTGGTTGGCGAGTTCCTAGCTAAAATGGAACAATTGAGTGCAGCTAGGCCTCGCCATTCACCAGAGTGGGGTTTATTGTTCCATACACAATAAACTGTTCTGGACTCTGGTGCTGTTTAGGCCCCTACTCTGTGGGGATTGTCTAACTCGCCAGGGGGCGTAGTACGCTTAAAAGTGGTTTGGGCCACCGTGGGGTTAAGCCTTACAGGCAGGAACCTACGTTAAACCCTTGCCACAAATTCACTAAAAGATATTGTTAAGAAATATTAATCTGCCGCGTCGTGACGTCCACCACATTAAATTTAGAAATAATACAGTTAGCTTTTCGCATTCTACTCCCCAAGCACTTTTATTTGATATCCATATGGACGATAATTAAAAAAAAAAAAAAACCATGTATCCTCCACGTCGTGACGCCCACCACAATTAATTTGGAAATAACGTACTTACCTTTTTGCATTCTATTGTCCAAGTACTTGTATTAGATACCCGCATCGTGGGTCGCGGTGTCCACCACAATAGTCCTTGTTTTGTCAGACAATATATCTTCATTTGACGAATATAGGAAATAGTTTTCAACATTCATTAAGCATAACACCTTCAACCAAGCTAAAAAAAGACAAATTAGTCAGTTGTAATTTTTTGTGGGCGTGGCCAGTTTTTTGAATTTTTCAAATAGTAGAGATTTTCCTAAAGTAGATCTGGAGCATATCATCCTTTTATTCTTTACTATCCGCCTGCGTGGCCGAGTAGGCAAGAGTCTCGTAACTAGCAACTCAATGGTGGTGGGTTCAAATCTCAAGTGCTCTCGGCTTTTATTAAAGCTTTAGAAGCTAGTGCTTTAAGACTTTAGTCTTAGAATTCATTCTCTGGCTAGATCAATGTGACCCATTTTAAATACCAACCTATGTACAAATGTTACTACCACAATTGAAGTCGATAGGTTCTTTCTTACAGGAGAATGAGACATTATACCTATGGGCAGACACATAGACGCAGAGATGCATGTGGGCAACACGACACAGACGGACATGCTTAAATCGATTTATAATTTGATGTTGATCAAGAATATATATACTTTGTAGAGTCTCTCATGCTTCCTTCTGGGTGTAGAAAACAAAACACGACAAAATGAATATATTCCTCATCCTTTAGGGAAGTGTATAAAAAGAGCGTGTAATAGTTGATTTCCGAAAGGTTTAGCCCAAGCCTGATGCAATTTATTTCTGCCATTCGTAGAAGAGTTAGGATCATTTTATAATGCATAATACAAAACTGAGCCATATATTTCTCATTCATCGGAGAGTGAGGATCATTTTGTAATACCTAGAGGAATACTAAACTGAGCTCTATATTCCCATATACAAATCGATCAACGTCAAGCTAGCATCAAACGATGAAACGGCATAACGTGAAGTCATGTTTGTATCGTATCGCTACTAGGGAAGATATCGATTAGTTACATGCATTTTTGCATAAATTATATAATCTTCCTTGTAGAATTTTTTTATAGATTTACATTGCTTCTAAATAGTATCTTAAAAAAGTTTACGATGCAGTCACTTCATGCTAAACGGAATTTTCTCCCATTTACAAAACGCTGACACCTCTAAATAAAAATATTTACCTAACACTTATTAATTGCCAGGTAGAAAAAAAAAAACAACGTTGATGTACGATTGTAAGTGTCTGTTTAAATCTGCTTTTCTGTCCATATACCTAGAGCAACATTTTAACTTACTTATTATAAGTCAAACGCGTCAATTTGTCAATTTATTTAAAAAAAAAAAAATTAAATATATACAAACATATATGTATGTGCAAATGTGTGCATGTGTGTGCACATATCATATTTACTTATAATTTATTTTCTTTTAGTTTTCATATCAAAACTGAAACTCTTAAATAAATATTTAACCTTCTTTTGCTCTCCTACGTTACACGCGAACCAGAAGATTATGTGATGAAAATTGATTACACGTCAAAATAGTTTCATTGCTAAGAAGACCTTAAGGTCTTAAGGTCACTTTTTTTTGTTTATTGTTTTTGTTTTTTTGTTTTTTTTTGCTTCCTATTCAAGTATAAGTCAAATTCCATCAATTTTTATCTCTACAAATATCCTATAAATCTTTTAAGGGGGCGTGCGTTCAAATTTATACACTTTCACGAAAATAACACTGAGATAAATGTCCGAATTGTTTTATAATTAATATGTGCGGTCTTAGTAAACATTTTAATTAGTCTCTGTGAATGGCGAAGCCCATGAGGACTTACCAGATGTACCTGCACTCGAGTCTGAGGCCCCGATTTATTATTCTCGATACTGAGTAAATTCGAAAGACGTAGAAAGTTTACATATGTCGATAAACTTTGGATTTTTCCAAGTGTAGAATATAAGACCTTTCGATCGTAAAATTACTGTCAACTAACATATCCAAATTACGATTGAGAATCATAAACCAGCCTGTGGCTTGTAGAGGAAAAGCGGAATCAAAGTTAAACGAACTTTCCTTCTTCCAAGTTGTATTGAATATATTTTGAATCAATTTTAATCCCTTTTTTATATCGCGGATAGGTGAACGCACTTCGCCAGAACGCATCGATAAGGTTAAAGCTTTAAAAGCCTTACAAAGTGTATATATTTACGATCAGCATAAAATTCCGAATTTATCTACGCAAGTCCGTCTGTACAGCTGTACAATGCGTGTGATAAATATCGCCCTGGTCGCAGAAACGAATATATCGGCTTCATTGACAGAAACAGTTTGCAAGTTTTGAGATATTTTGATGATGAAACTTGATATAGGAGGAACGCTATTGAAAATGGTTCACAACGGGTCACTTTTTCGACCTCTTTGCTTTATTTTAAAAAGTTTCTATATGCACAGAGTAGGGTAGGGTAGTGGAGGGTATGTAATGGTGGGTCATGTATAGTGTTTTCACTTGTTATTGAATTTTTCTTTTTAAATAAAGGTAGCGTGTGGAGAAGATTTTCGCCCACAATCTAATATAATTTTTTTGTTCACTGCTGAAACTCTTTTGGTATTCGATATACCCGCGTAAATTAATTTCAATATTGGTTTTACCTTTTTTTGTTCACAGTATTATATTTATTATAGGCGCCAGGAAAATTGATCAAGATGACCTTGAATTTAATATTCCGATCAAAAATCATTTTCGCCGACCTCTTAAAACAGCAGAAATTAAGTCAAATCTACGATTTTTCACATTTTACTAAGTAGTACAAGTAGTGGATAGTTTCACTACAACTTAATGTGTCATCATTTTTTTCCAAATATTTTTTCTTACAGTTTTATTTGTCTTTTTCTTTATATTACAGCAGCGACAGCAATGCACTTCGCAAGATGGAGATATTTTAAGTGCCTAATGGTCTTTTTGCTCATTAGTTATTTTGTACCACAGGCAAAAGCAAATCATAAACATTTCAATTACTATTTAGCCACCAATGACTCACCATCGTATGGCATTAATCGGCCCGAGTATACGCCGGTCATGGCTGAAAGTAAAGAAGCTGCGGAGAAGGAAGAAAGTATAAATTATAATTTGCTGGAATTTGTGAATGAATTTCATTTGGAGCGTTCATCGATAGTGTTTGGCTTAATTAAGGTAGCTAATGCAAGCAATGTAAGCTCTCGGTGCCATTTCCATTTGAAAAACATAGAAAGAGGAGTTTTAAGAAAAGACTCATGGGCTATCAAAGGTAAGTAAGCGGTAGCTATTGCTATTCAGTGCATTAATTATTTTAATTTTTCTCTCTTTTTGTTTTTATCATTTCAGTTCTAGATGCTTCCGGCACTAAGCCACCGGGTTTTGTATTTGGTCAAAATTTTTGGCTTGGCAGTCGTGAGGGGTGTGACGCGGTTCGACGGCCACTTGGTATTACTTTATCAGCGAATTTTCCGCGCATTATGCATAATAGTCTTATTAGTGAAATAGCTCCGTTCGAAGTCGACTATCGTGTAATCTATCTAAAGCACAATTCTCCATGGCAGGTCGAATTGAAGGTTATGTCCGAACAAATTGTCCATATTGGTTTATGCTTGCCATCTTCCTGCGCCAACTCAGAAATAGAGAAACTAATGAGTATATATGTGCAGCAAGGACCCTTTGTCGAAAACGATATTTACGATATAAAACCGGAAGTTGTTTATATGAAAGATTTAAAAATTAATAAAAGCTTTTACCAACGAGCAAGTTTCAAAATATTTAGCGCTTGCTTGATTTTCACCTTAACTATGATGGTGATGGCTTCCTTTTTAAGAAAGAAACGATCGCCAAAGCAAACGGCGGATGAGGCGACCTGTGAACCGGTCATCGTTTTAAGTACTTTACCTTTATCTATACAACACTTTGTTTCGTCTTTTGATATCCAAGAGAATTGGTCGAAATTGTTTACTACCAAACCGGACAATAATTCTATTGCTGTTATAGACGGTTTACGTTCTATGTGTGCCATATGGATTATGCTATTTCATGTAATGTGGTTTATGTACTTCACCGTAAACAATAAACCCGTTCTAGTCTCATACGCTGAAACCGGGATTTTTCAATATTTAAGCTCCGCCCCAATTCTGGTAGACGTGTTCTTCACTATTAGGTATGTCTGAAATGATCATTAATATATAGATTAGGATCACATGTAACATTTATATTCTTTGCTCTATTTTTCAGCGGCTTTTTACAAGTTCATAACTTTCTAAGCAATAGTCGAAAGTTGGAAGCGATTCGCGCAAATAATTTTTGGCAAAATGCTAAACAGTTTGCAAAAATGTTGATTCGTCGTTATTTGAGGTAACATTAAAATGTTCTTGTTGTAGCCACGCAAAGTCGCGGTCGTTAAATATCGGTTGTTAAAGTCCTCATTCGAATATAGGAAAAAATTTGATCTCGTTGCCATATAAGGATTAATATGTTTTCAGAATGTTTATAAAGAAGATGGTCCAGACAAAGGCTAGTTCGCTTCTTGAACTTGGCACAGTTCATTTGTTTGTTAAATCAAAGTTCTGGAACTTTCGGTTGATCCTATATAAGGTTTTCATCGATTTTTCGTCTATTTTTTTTGAGAAACATCGAATAGTCGAAAAAAATGGACTCTTTCAACTCATCGTCATTAAGAACCGACCTCATGCGAAAATTAGTTACGATACTAGATGAAATAAACACGAAAATGCATAGACACACATAAGTTCGAAATGATTCAGAAAAGGGTTCTGTGTCGATTGGCATAAACACAAATATGTGTCTGCCTTAAGTCGTTCCGGAAAAACTTGATATACTTTGTAATGCAATTTTTATATCCTACACCGCTTGCAGTACAAGAGTAAATGAAGTTTGTGCGGTTGCTTGTAACACCCAGAAGGACTTGATGATTATACTGATCGATTTCGAAAGTAATACTAAACTTTTTTGTCTGTCTGTCCATCTGTCCATCCTGTTCTCTTGGGTCCAAGTTAACAGCCCCAGTTTTTCGCGATATGCTGATGAAATTGGGTGCTCTGAGGTACGCTATTGGAAATGATTCGGATCGGATCGCTTTTCTGGCCACTTCTAATGTCAAGACTTATTTTAAAAAGCCAGGGTAGGGTATTTAATCCTTATCTCTGACCCATTCTGGGGCATTTACTTGTTTATTACTTAACATTTTATTCATATCTCCTTTGTCTCTTTTACTTTCAGACTTTGTCCTTTATATCTGGTGCTTATTGTTTTAGTCGATTTGCTTTACGCTTACATCGATATGGTATCGGTCTATCATATTTACGAAAAATTTGACGAAACCTGCAGCAATTACTGGTGGCGTAATTTATTATTTATACAAAATCTGTTCGCGTACGATGATATATGTATTAACTGGAGCTGGTCTTTGGCTTGCGAAATGCAGTTCTTTCTTCTTGCCAGTGTATTGCTTTTCACATATACGAAGTACACGCGATTATATAATTCTTTTTGATTGCAATAAAAACTTTGATTATTTGCAGGCATCCAAATCTGACGAAAGTGTCAACGGTAACAGCTTTAGCAGCAAACGTTATATGGACTTATGCGATCGGTTTAAATGTGAATTTCGAATTGTCATTCGATACGTTCCTGGCAACTGCTAATTACATCTATTTAAGTCCATTTGTTCGCAGTTTACCATATATTATGGGAGCGATGGGAGCGTGGCATTTAATAGAGAATCGAGAACGTCTAATAACGTTAAGCGAGGCGCATATCAGCCTGCGATGGAATTTGGCAATACTCGTATTTTTCATATGCCTTTTCTCAACTGCTAAACGTGACCTCTCAAGCTTGGGAGCCGTTACGTTAATTGTTGTCGGACGTTTATGCTTATCTGCAGCTATATGTTGGACGGGTATTGGGAGTGCGACAGGTCGTAGCTGTTGGTGGTCACAACTTTTAGAAGCAAAATTATTTCAACATCTCAACAAATTATCTTATGCCATATATTTGCTGAATCCTCTGGTTATAGTGCTTCTCTTCAGTTTAACGAGTGCCAGCATTCATGCCGATCTCATTATGATGGTATTTAATTAAAATGCATATATATACATATATATATATTTATATTTTTCCTTCTTTCTTTTAAGAGTATTTTTTGTGCGGGCTTTGTGGTCATAATTTACCTAACGTCGGTCATATTTTCGTTGACCTTTGAAATGCCGTTCTACAATTTCATCTAGGGATAAAATAAACTCAGTCTTTTTTTTTTTAGTGCCTTAAGAAACAATTAGTGAATGCATTTAATTAATTTAACAAAATCGTAGAAAATGTAAATTTGTATATAAATTAGTTACGAAATTTAATAAAAAAAAAAAAAAAATATATATATATATATATATATATATTCAAGGAGATAAGTTAATTAATTTTGTATGTAAAATGTATTGATTTATTATCTTTTAGAGGATCTTTTTAAGTCGCAGTTGACTGTAAGTATATTAAAAATACCGGTTTTCTTAAAGAAAGCTTTCATGAATGTTTTTTGAACGTCTTAGCAAACCAACTAACCTGATTACAGGATTTTTTTATGTTCATTCATTTTTTTTAACCTTGTCCTTGGTAAGCCGATCGTAATGATTGTTTAATACGATACACATGCGTAAATACTCTACACGCATATGCGATTTTATGCTAATTAAGGCTAAGATATTTAATTCGTTTTGCCATGAAATTTTTGATGTCTTTCACTTACATTGTTTTAGATTTGTGAAAGGAAAGTTAGAAGACACTTGATGCGGATTTTTGAGAGACAATTAAGATAAATGCGAAGGAAACATAATTTTATTAGAGTAGAGCGTGTAACAGCGTAAGCTCATCATCCCATAAAATACTATCAGATTTCTTAATGATACCTATAATTTCCGATTTTCAATTTTCAATGAAGATCTTCATTGTTTCAATTTTCAAACCGAATCTCAACGAATCTGATAACGATATGGTTGTGATATGCAGGATTAAAAAACTGTGGGTGACTTTTTATTTATTTTAAGAGGTTACATATGGATTGATCAAGTTTGTGTATCTCATCGCTTCATGTGATAAAAGAAGAAGATGTGAAATTTTATTTCAACATCCATTCGAAACTTGTTTTATATAATTGAATGATTACATGAGTTCTGCAGGTGTGACGGTGATTAAATCTAAATGGAACAAAATTTTTCTTTATCTTTTTTTTTTTTTTTTTTTTTTGATATTACTCTCTGACCACAATATCGTTATTGTTTTATTAACCAATATAAAAGTTTTCAGGATTTTTGACACTGAGAATGTTGTTCATAAAGCATGAAAGAAAAGTTGTGATACTTGTGCTGCTCTCTTCACGCCATTTCGAAATATATTAATTTAGTTATTCCATTTGTAAAAAAGAAAAGAAGGCAAACCTTTTAAAACAAGTGTAATTATTTAGAATTTATCAAGTTGCAAGTCTGTTCGTTTATGCCTAGTGTTTGTCGCGCTCAACTCTTTCCATTTTTGACTTAAGCATAAAAATTGAATTGAAAATTGTGTCAAGAAGTTTTCTATTCATCCAGATATTGAATATCGACTATCGATGAGTTCACGTTCCCGTTCACGTTCACGTTCACGTTCACATGCTGCACCCGACGTAAGGTAACAGAGTTCATTACTAATACAAAATTTTCATAGATCGATGAATAACATTCATGGATCAATTGGGTGCGGATAGAGGCAACCGTGTTACGGAATGCTTATAGTTTGTTGCAGAGAATGACCGATTGATTGAAAAGAGGCTTTGCAGCTGCCGCTGCGTAAATAATTGATGATGCAAACGTTTGCAGGTGGAGGTCTGCCACAAATTGAAAAGTAGGCAAAGTGAATGTCCGAACTCCACTTTTCTGAAATTAGCCTTCAATAAGCTAGTTTTCTGCCGACTAGCGGTACAAAGTTGCATTTCATAGTGTTGGCATACAACCAATTAAATACATCCAAAGAAGTTGACCGTCAATCTGGTGCTGGTGGCGATCGCTGTCGACTATAACGTCTCGCTAAAGGAAAATAATAAGGCTCAAGATAATTGGCGTTCAGGGTGAATTTTTAAGTACATAGTTGCGTATCGCATCGGGTTTCCGGGCTTAATTAAATGCGGCCTTTGTGTTGTTGATCTGAACAGTATACTGTGTTCTGCAACGGTACTCAACAAAACTGTTTATATATGATACGAAAAAATTCTTACGAAAGCTATTATATGCTATATACTAAAATCAGATATCATGCAGTCCTTTGGTTGACAAATGAGTCCCTAAGCCGGGAAATTAGGTTCGAATCTATGCTGAAGAACAACTCATTCTACGAAAGCGAACATTTTGCAAACGTTGTAATGCATACATCATCGCATCACTAAAGCTGTCCATAAATGAGCGTCAAAGAAAGTGAAAAACACTTAACGTAACATAACCTCAAAATAAGCCAACTGAAGTGAAGTTTCCTTTCGCTTTCTCAGTGCCCATATAAAATATGAATTTTTTTTTTTTTTTTTTTGCTTGGAATATCGAGTGTTGGGTACCAATCAATTCGTTCGAAACTGTAATAACCTCGTTTTAGTGTTCATATATAAATACATGGTACGCGCGCGCAAATGTTTAATTTTAAAATCGATTTCTGCCTCTTGGACGTGTAAGTTATTCGCTGTTGGCGATTGAATTTTATATACGACGTTAAGCAATCAATGAAATGAGTTAATACCGCGGCATCAGGAGTAGTACTACATGCGCTGACGATATCTTTTTATACATGTACTGTACCGGTCGATATTATATAATTAAAAGTGTGAGTGCTGGAAACATTGCAATCATTGTCTTAAGCATTGTGCTCAAATTTCATTTCTTTTTTTTTTTTCTTTACATTTTTTGCGTTATGATTGGAAAATGAACAAGTTTTCCATTTGGATTTTCTTTAGTTGAAAACCAGAGCGTCAACGAAAGTCAGTTGCTTGTAACCATTTATATTGTGAACAACGGTTTGACGTACGAGTGTATTATTTTTTTGATTGGTGTCGAATATTCATATTCATGGAGAGTATCGCAGCATTTGTGTGCCTTTTATTTACCTTATTTGGATCGTCGTTATCGCGGTTGTCAACTGTGCAAGAGCGTTTGGTTGAAAGAAATTTCCTCTTTGGTATTGCAAGTTTGGCTGCTTATAATGAAAATGCCACAACGCAATGTGGCAAAGAACTTGAAATTCTAATAAAAGCAGCGAGCGAACGTCAACTTTGGTCTTCGAAATGTATGTAAAGTATTTGTAAGCGAAATAAGCGACTTGCGCCGAAGCGCTTGCTGCATCTTTGAAAGATGAATAACATTCAAAATTGATCTTGAGGTCAATTTAACCATGACTATCCTTCTGGTCAGCTTAGAAGTTAACGGACTCGTAAGAATTGACTTAGGGTCCTGCAAAAGAGCACATGTCCGCAGATTGATGCTAAACCTTCATCGAATAAAGCGACAATGGGTAAAAAATTGAGACGTCTTCGAAATAAAAATTAAGAATTACGAGATTTTATCTTCGTGAATGATTTGTCATTCCATTTATAATGACTAGAAATATGTGTTGCAGACATGTTATTATTATTGTTATACCCTACGCTACATGTGGCACAAGAGTGTATTAAGTTTGTGTGAATGCGTGCAGCACACTTGTAGGACTTGAGATAGTCCCACCTTTTATTATACCGGGCGATTCAGAAGAAGACTCCGATCCAAGCTTGTCTGTCCGTCTTTCTGTCTAATGTCTTTCCATGTATTTTTGTGTTCAAGCTACAGGTCATAATTTTTGAGATATTTTAACGATTTTGAAAATGGTATGGATCGATCTACTCTTTCGACCACAACCCCAACAAATTGTTACATGGAAAAAGTTGCAATTTTCAAAATTTTTTCGCAAAATTGGCTACGTAATAGATATGAAAACTTTGGCTTTTCTGGAGCAATTGTTTGAACCCTCTACCACGTAACGAAATCTGCAGCTCATAGGACTAGAAAGGTCTAATTTCGAAGCGTTCATGGTGGCAATCAGATCATAATAATAATTTAAGATAAAAAGAACAACTGTGCCAAATTTGGACCACCTCGAACTATTTTTTTATATCCTACCCTATATATAGATTTTCACGAAAATTGATCCGTTGTAGGGTAGAAAATACTAAATTTCAATATGTTATGATGAAACTTAACCCATAACACTAATTTAGATAAAAAAATGCACTGCATCAAATTTAAACCACCCACGCCTATTCTTGGAGCCTATGCTATATAAGGTTTAGTACGAAAATTTACGTTAGGGTAGAAAAGTTTAAGTTTTAATATTTTGTGGAATTTTGAACAAGTACCATAATTTTTGAAACTCTTAGGCACAACCGTTCTTACGGAAACTAGGTCTTTATTTGCAAAGAGTTCTAATATTTGATATACACTTCCATAATACACTTCCATGTTCATATAACAACAGAGTGCCATTTTTGTGTTCTATGTCAAAAATAAGAATTGTGTTAAACAATGCGGTGAAGGGCATTTAAAAGTCAGCCTAGCCCGATTATAATGTTTTCACTTGTTCTTCTTTTATTAGTATGGCCATTCACTTAGGGATTGCCCCCCATTCGCGTAACATGGTAATGGCCAGAAAGAAATGACGAAAAAGGAAGAGACAGGGAGATAGTGGCCGCAACCTAGTCGATGTGTGCTCAACTAGTAAATGTTGTGCTCCTTTATTGACTGAGTGTTCCCTATAGCTACAACCAAAACAAACTCTATCGCACTTGAGATTTGCGCCAGTGAAAGTTAATGTGGCCGTCGTGTCCCTTACCTAATCGGCTAAGCATGCGATAGGCCGCAATCGAGGTTGAATATAGAAGCAATCTTTTTACACCCACACACACCTGCAGAGGCCAAAACTTGTACATGCTAACATTCAAAAATCTGATATAAATATTTGCAAGAACATTGTGAGTTTATAAGAAATCCGGAGTTCGCCCGAGAGCGTGTACAAATTTCTCACTTGTCGCAAAGGTCTAATAATTTGTTGCCGGTTGTCGAGCAGGATTTTTACCGATTTTTGCGAAGAAATTTTAAAAATTTGCTTACGCTTTCTGCGTAATGCAATTTATAGGAACGGGTGGCAAATATAATATAATTTATGTGGTCCTGACGCATCCGCTTCGTGCATGTCATTCTCTTTGCCTTTGTATTCATTAAAACTAGTGCTGGATGCTTTTGGTTCGCCGCCGCAACAGTTTTTATGGGGCAATTATCTATGGTTTGGAACGCCTGCTCTGTGTTATGATCTTAATCAACCAATGGATATAAGTTTAGCTCTCAGTCAGCCAATTGTGACCAATGTAACGAGTCCGTTTCCCTTAGAGTATACTGTGGTCTATCTAAATTTTTCGACACCATTTTACATTGATGTAAAATTAGCATACGAGGTAAGTAAGTAATTTCCATAATATTTCGATTCCATTTCCTAAACATTTCATTGACATATCTAGAATTATATCCACTTGGGTTTGTGCTTACCACGGTCGTGTAACATGGATGTTATACGCAAAGCGACTGATCAGTATTTTGAAAAAGACAACGCAAAATTTGAAACGCAACGTACTTTTCAATTAGAATTAAAAACTGTGGCCATCAAGACGCCACATTTCTCTTGGAGATTTCTCACACAAACGGGAAGTATTTTGTTGTTGTAAGTACGCTTTTAATTCTACGATTTCCAATAGAAGTGACTTGTTTTGCATTCATATTCATTTTGTTAAAACGTTTGCAACGTCCAGAAGGAAACATAAGAGATCCCACAAAGTATATATATTCGAAATAAATTCTAAACCGATTTAAATATGTCCGTCTATCTGTCTGTCCGTCTTCGTAATGTCTATTGTAAACACTCTTCTGCCCTCAAAAAGAAAGCTATCGACTTCAAATTTGGCCAATATATTGGAAGTTCTTGCACACAGGTTGGCATTGAAAATGAAGTAAATCGGTCGAAGAACACGCCCGCAGCACTACGTAAACTGAGAACGCTACTGTTTTTCAAAGGGAATGAAAAATTGGTTTTTCCTAAACATTTACATTTCTATTCTTTGGGTTGTTCTGCAGCATCTATATAGCAACAGAGTATATCGGTCACAATACTATATGTTATTGAATAATACAAAATCTGAATCATTCTAGAAATGTCTGTCAATCCCTCTGCTCGACTGTCTGTTAATTACTGTGGTAACCGCACTCATGATCGCTAATATGGAGATATCTACTTCAAATTTGGTAAAACATTATATTGACTTCCTCCTTACTCTGTACTGCGGCGGGGTCCTTTTACCAATTGAGTACATTCTGACTTTCTTCGTTTTCTTTTTGCGCCTAAACTATAGGAGATATAAACATCCACTTTAATGCTGTATAAATAGAAAAAATGAGCCACGGCCACGTAATATTATAGAGTATAGGAATTTCTGTTCGTTCTTTTTTAGTCGAGTTTGGGATAATGGTGAGGGGTAAAAGATTAGCTGCCGGATATAATTTTCTTACTTGTTAGATTAAGATTGTTAGATACGGTCAGTTTATTAAGATCATTCTATTCCATTTCGATATATCTTTTCATGTTTCATGCTTTCAAAGCACTTCTTTTAACCAAGCCACCAAAGGAGTGCACTATGACATAAGATACTTATACTGTGACTCAACAGATATAGTGGAAGACTCTCGATGGCCATCTATGCTGCGATTTATCAATTTTTCTCTCTTCCCGTAATTTTCGTGTGTATTTCTAACTTTTTGGACCACCGTTCTCAGGTTAAATTCGATAATCCTCAAAGTTGTTTCATACATTCACTTATGATTTGCTTTCGTTCTAGAATTATATATTCAAAATTGCAGCTCTTGTGATCTGAACCTATAAATTGTGTTTTACAATTAACCTTGATAATTAAAATATCCCATTGATATTCAAAAATCGTCCAAGTTGAACTTAGAATTTGCTGACAATTGTCAAAAATTCTGATAAAAATTAAGTAAAATACTTAAAACGATAAAGCGGGCAATCTGGCCCTAATTTATTGATCAAGCAAGTAAAAACATAATTGTGAGCCATGGCCCATCATTAAATACTTTACACCACCCCGCTGTGAACCATATATCGGCTTTTCAAAATAAGGCATTATATGGAAAGTTGTCGTAAAACTGGTTCGATCCGAGCCATTGTTAATAGCATCTGACCTTAGGCTAAAATATGTCAGTGTACCAAATTAAAGTAAGATCTCTCATTAATTGCCATCTTGAGATTGAATACAAGAGAACGAAACAGATAGGCGGAAAGACGAATAGGTGGACATACGGACACGCACATTCAATTCGAATCAGAAAGTAATTTCTAATTGATCGGTGAAAGATGGGTATATTTCTAGTCCTTCTAGATGTTGCATACATCAGCATAAACTTAGTGTGTCCCTATACCATAAATAATGTAGGATATAAAAATAAGATTTGTGCGAAAAACGCCCGAAAAGAAAAGACTAAGGAAAGAAACCAGCCGCAGTACAGTGAGTTATTAATATTTTTCTTTCTTTTTAATTTTAGCATTTTACTTTTTACGGTGATTTCGTTAAAAATATTTGCCGAAATCATTTATAAATCTAAAGAGAATCGAAGACTTCAGCTATTCTTGCCGTACCAAAGCGGTAATATGCCAGCTTTTCCTCAAACAGAGAAAAGCCCATTTTGGATCGAATTGATATTGTGTTTTCGCTTCGAAGACAATTATGAAGCAATTATGAACTTTGATAGCGATAACGGTCGGAGTTCAAAAATCCTTACTAGCCTGGCAGGCATGCGTACTATCATCTGCTTGTGGGTGACTGTATTTCACGTTTACTATTATTCGTTTAACTTTATATCCAATATAATGGTGGTAATGGCCCGACTTGAAGATTTTGCTGTTCAGCCGGTTTCGCAGGCAGTCTTTTATGTAGACGTATTCTTTACAATTAGGTTAGTAAGAGACAGTGAGTACGCATTAGATAAAATTTCTTTTAAGTTCATCGAATTTTAATTGCAGCTCTTTTCTTTTGGTGTACAATTTCCTAATGGACGGCAAGCAAATGGAAAATATCTTAAAAAATAATTTTTGGCACAATATTAAAATATTTGCTCGTTTAATCGTTCAACGTTACATAAGGTAAGTAAAAAATTTGGATACAATTTTATTCGGGTGCCGTAAAAGAAATCTTTTGTAAAATAAGTAAAGAGAAAGTAAAGTTTGCCTCCACTGCATACGCTGTACCGCCCTATAGCTCTACGGGATTTAGTCGAAAAAATGCTCCGATCCGAACCACATTCGTATTTGGGCCAAAATACATCTGCGTGCTAAACTACAATCTGTAAGTTGAACATAAGGAAAAAAGGCAGCAAAGGGATAGACGGATAGACAATCTTCGGTTGACGCAAAACGTTATTCTAAATCTACCAGCACAACAAATGGTGGGCCTACTTCAAGTCCTTCTGGGTATATGCATACTTCGGCATAAAGTTAATAAATCCTGTTACCATAATTAGTGCAAGGCATAACAAGTTAAAAGTTTAGAGTTGAACAAGGCGAACTACTCAGTATTGCATTCTAATAGAATTGAACTGCCGTGGGCCAAACATAGCGAAACGATATTTTTTTTTTTTTCAACGAATTATTGTTCTTCAAAAAATTAAATCATTCGGGGCAACTTAGAAGCATGAGAGCTTTAAATAGGAGTGGTGCCTTGTGGTACGAACTTACTACAGTAAATTGGGTACGGCAACGTTTGGATCAATCAGACTTACTTTTTGTGAGAAAATTTATATAAGAGGAGATCCCTTTCCCCTTTTGTCCTCCCCTTTACGCGTTCATTTATCATGGACTTTCACCTATTTTTGGCGGTGCTTTCTATACAATGAATTATCTAAGAAATTGCAGCAAAAATTACATATTTCGGTCTATTTTCAATAGGGTCGTCCTTGGCCAAAACCATTATGTATGAAATTTTAACAAAATGTCTTTCAATGCAACCTATAAACTGAAAAAAAAAATTTGAGGGCAGTTAGCAGACGGGCAAGTGCTTAGAAGAGTTAAATCGATTCAGAAAATGATCGCCAATCTATGGGAAGAACCTCAAGTCGTTCTGATTGTTGGTACAAACCCAATAGACTGTGCTCTACAAGACGCATAATATATACTCTACATCACTGGAGGTAGAAGGGTTTATTAAGTTTTTGTGGATGCATGTAACTCCCAAAAGGACAACTTTTATTAAAATCAGATTCAGAATCACTTTTTAAATCGATCTAAACTTCTGTCCATCTTTCCGTCCTGTTTTCTTGTGTTCAATCTACAAGTCGCAATTTTTGATTTATTTTGATGAAAGTTGGTACACCGACCACTTTTTCGATCACTCCCCACAAAAAGTCTTATTTTGAAACGACGTTATATGAATAACTGTATTGAACAAAGCGATGTAGGGCACTTGGCAGATGGCTAAAGCGGTTTGAGTTAATAAAATTTGTAACTAAATGTAAATCATATTTTCGGACATGGAAAGGTTAGGATAAAATAAAGTAATTCTTATTTTTGGAAGAAGAGAATACCACACAGAAATTATATTTGAAATAATTTGTTATTATTTATAATAATTTGTTGAATATTTTTGATTTGTACAGATTGACTCCCGTTTTAATTGTGGCTATGATCTTCGGTAATTGGTTATATGATCTCATCAGCGTCTATTCCCCTTTTTATATGGGTAAACATAATGCTATCTATTGTAAAAAGTGAGTCCCTAAAGCTGAATAAATTAAATGCTGACATAAATATTTTTTATTGTGTTTCAGGAATTGGTGGTATAATCTTCTTTATATTCAGAATTTTCTTGATATGAATAATATTTGTTGCTCGTGGACATGGTATTTGGCTTGCGAAATGCAATATTTCTTGATGTTTACGGGGCTGCTGTTCGTATACGTAAAACAGCCAAACATTGCTAAAGTCATGTTTGTTGTATTGACGTTCGTATCTCTTGTCATTGCTTGGTGGTTACATTATAGCAATGGAATAAAATTCCAGTAAGTACGATAACAGATTTTTCTTTAACGTAAGTGGTCAAGAGTTTTTTTTAGTGCTTTTCATATACTTATTTATTTATTTATTTTTTTCTTTTGTAACAGAATCGATGTTATCAACAGCACTCTTAATCAGCTTTATGTGAAACCATGGCTACGCGTATTTCCTTATATAGGGGGAGCAACCATGGGTTGGGTAATGCATTATCTGCAGCAACGGAAGCATTTAAATTCTGCACAGTGTAGCCAGTGTGATAAATTGCAACAACAACAACAACAACAACACCAACAACAACAGCACCAACGAAAAAAGAATTTTTTCTTTAAAGAGCCAAGAAAATGGTTTAGTTATGTTTACTTAACGTTTTGGCTATTCCTAGCTGTCTTTTATTTGTTAACAAATTTTATGAGCTATTGGCGTACAATGCCTACCTGGCTTTTAGGTACCATTATGACTGTAGGTAAACTGGCATTTTCTCTTTGCATCGGTGTTGTCATCATTATGTGTGCATCCGGTCGTGGCGGACGACTTAATGCTTTCTTAAGTGCCCGACCATTTTTATTCTTGAACAAATTTTGTTTCAGTATTTATTTAATGGCTCCCGTAATTGTTATGGGCATTTTTGGTTTACGCAATGCGCCTACCAACTACACAGACGTTAGCTCGGGAGCCGATTTTTTCGCAACAATAATACTAGCATTAATGTCCGGTTTTCTTGTGCTCTTACTATTGGAACTGCCTACGCAAAAGATGGCCATCCTTATGCGACGTCATTTTAATACATAATTCTGAATATCAATGCAAATATATACTGATCTGCGAACAAAAAAAAAAAAAAAAAAATATCACTGGAAAGCTGAAGGCAAAAATTCCTCTGCAACTAAGTAATGAATTCCGTGCGAATATTTTTTATTTAAATTAAAAAAACTGGCAAGAAAGAAACTATGCGGAATTTCACTGGGAGTTATTTATTTCTCCTTCTACGACTTTTAGAATAGTCATAATGTCCATAAAAGAAAGAGCAATTGAAATAGATGTAGAGACAGAGGCAGAGATAGAGATAGAGATACAAAGATGGTGATAGAAGTAGAGACGGAGATAGCGATAGAGAGATAGAAATAGATCTAGATATGGAGATGGAAATAGAGCTAGAGGTACATAGGGAGAAAGTAACAATATTTCTTCGTCGCGCGTGCTTTCAGATCGATTTCAGATCTGAAGTTAACTCTTTACCGATAATCGATTGCCATGGTTACGAACAGCCATTTTATATTTAGTATTAAAGTACAGTTAGTTCCTTTGCTCTATAAGCAAGTATGTTTGAGAGTAAGAATAGCACAGATATTCCGCGCGGCAGTCTAGACCAGAAGATAGCTGGCGCCAGGGACGTTCAAGTGGTATTATTTAGTTCACTGGAAGTTTCACAAACTAATTACGCAGCTTTTTCCAACTCAGCGCACGTTGCAATAGACCTTAAACTTGAAGTGAATGGTTAAAACGGCAAAATATTGATAAAGTAATTTAGAGAAAGAGAGAAAGAGAAAAAGAGAGAGTGAGATAAAAAAGTAAAGAGAGGAAGTAAGGTATATTTACACTTGTTAGCCTAATAGAATTTCAAATTGATTTGAATTCCGCATCGCATTCGAAGGATATTTTAGCGCGACATTTAACATTGTCCTTTAAGGTTAAACCTGGTTGCGTGCGTGTGTACAACTCGTTATCGTCTGGGGAGATAAACTTCACAGAAAAAGTTGCTATGTTGAGCTTTTCTCTCAGACCTGTTTTGTGCATTGTTCACGTACACACATCTACATGTAACCGGCATTTACGCATGTCACGTAAGAGACAAGATGAATTTTTTCTTTTTTTTTTTTGTAAATGTCTTTAAATTCAACTTAAAGTAAATACGAAGTAAATAGTTATATCTTAAGCTAATTGAAAAGTTCATAGCGTTTAGATTATAAAACATTTTATAAGACCCCCCATCGCAGAAGCATGAAGAGTATATTCATTTTATCAGGACTTTAGTAGCACCTAGAAGGAGACATCAGCCATATATATATTCACAATCAGTATTAAGCGGTAATGGGTATAAAAGACTCAGTCATGGCCGGATATAATTTTCTTACTTGTTTTACTTTCTCTTTATAAGCATTTATTTAATTTGCCTCTCCTCTCTGCCTGTGGAATTTGTGCAATCTGACATTCCGTTTGATTTTGGTGACAGTATAAACAATACTTGTTTACCTCTGTACAGCAACGCAAACTGGATGATTGATTGTCTTCTTTCTATCAATCTCCTCAATATGGATATTACATGAAAGGTCTTGGAAAGTGGTGTGCGACAAGTTACAGAATAGATCGAAATGCAATGGACTAAAAAGTAAGAACAAATAAATTATATAACAAAGGAACGGAAGACTGGAAAATGCATTTATTTCTGGACTGACTTTTATAATTGACGTTATATAAAGCCGCGAATTACTATATTTGCTTTAAAACATGTATGAAAACGTATTATTTGTTCGGTATCAGGGCTTGTTAAGCATCCTACCGTTTTATGTATTGAAAGTTCTTTGATCTGACTATTTATCGTTAGTGATAACACATCGTTCAATAAGACAGTAGGATGATTACTGACAAATTCATACGATTTTTAGATAATACGACCATCTTTGTTTTTGTAAAACGACGAAAAAATCTGAATCTTGTGTGTGTAGCACAATTAAAACAGTTGTAGCTTGCAACGTAATAGGCGGGATGTCATGAAATGTTGACACATTTTCTTTGGAGTTTTAGTATGATCTGAAAATCATACGAATTCGTCAATAGTGGCAACACCTACACATCATCCCATGGATTTATTAAGCGAAATGCTGTGTTTGCTCCCAGCTGCTGCTTTTATACGAGGGTATCGAATGCAGTCACTGATACATTGTTTTACATTGAATGATCTATGAACTTTTCAATTAATCTAACGCGATGAGTCTTAACAAATATTGGATAATGTACAAACTGTTTCCTCTACCATTGAAGGTAATGTTGACGAATTCCAAATGATAATGTAAATGAATGGATCATTGAAATAAATATATAAATTTTTATCAATTTTATTGAAAAGTGTCCAGTTCTTAGTTTAATTTTTCTAAAATTTCCCACTTATTCTACATGTCAATGTATGCTCTATATAATACCTAGAAAAGTGTTACAATTATTATTTTCTATATTTTCCTACACTGCGCTGTACTAAGTACTTGAAAACAAAGTTCAAAATAGGAAAAAAAAACCAAAAAAAGGCTCAAAACTTAACACTACTCTTATGCATGTTTAATGCATAACACTAACACTACTCTTGTGCATGTTTAATATTTAATGTACAGTTAATCTAGCAAGAAAAGAAAAAAAAAGGAAAGACAATTTCGATTTATGAAAATAAATAAGAGATAGTACAGAACAAATGTAGAGAGCGCAGCAATTTGTTACTAGGAATTCCGTTAAATAAAAGTTTACACAAACAAACCAGTAACGGAATAAATGCTGTATATATTGGTAAAAGCAACGTAGAATCGTCCATCGAATATGGGTCCAGTTGTCGCGGACCGCTTGGCTTACGAGGACGTTCTGTTTTCGAAAGTAATTCACAGAATTCATCGTTAATATCTTCTTCATTTTCCACTGCTGGTAATTTCTTTGGATACTCATCCGTTTTGGTATCTTCTTCATTGGAAACTAATTTTCTATGTTGGCCGTTAAGGACCTTCTTTTTATTTGCACATCTAATGGAAGCACTATCATCTATATCTGGATAGAAAGTGTCTTTATGTAAAGGCTTTAGCCGTGGTATACGTTGAACGTCTCTTTTCAATAATATGAAAGCATTGATTTTCGGATTGTCGTTAGGACCCTTCATGAAATCGAAACGTACCAAGTTATTGTGTACATTATTGCGTACTTCCTCCTTGTACTTTAAATTACCCGAAGTAACTGTAAAAAGACTCATGAAGGGCAGTGCCGTGATCCACTTCAGCGAATATGTCCAATTCACACAATATAACATGACGACAATTTAAGACCACATCAAATATCTGAAAAGTTTTGAAAATTTAAATATAATTTTTTTTCTCATTTTACCTTTCCCTTTTTTTTGCTTACCTTTTTATTTATTTGAGTAAAAAAAACTTCGCAAAATTTTAGTGCTATAGCCACCGCCCTCTAGAGAAATGGTTGCATGGTCTAAAAAAGTTGTATTTGCAATTATCTTGTAAGAAACTACTACTACTCCTACTCGATTCAAGGAGATAAAATTTCTCTTCTGAAAATATACCAGACAGTGAAGACATTATTTCAGTCATTCGTTTATTAAGATGTTTTTTTTTCCTATAACTTACACATGATGAGAATCATATGCTAATGGGTTAATATGAATTAACCCACAACCAAAGCGCCTTCACCGGGGAAAGTGTGCGTAGGTACTTTGGTGGTACATATTATTCAATTTAGAAATTGATTATTTTGAAGTGATACAGTTTCGAAAGAGGAAAAAATGATTAGTTGGCAGGCATATTTAATTTACTCGTGTTGATGCGGCTTTCATCACAATTCCTAAAATGGCTCTTCCTTCTCTTTAATTCATATTCTGGTTGAACTAACTCTCTTCGAGTTCGTAGTTCATTTTGTCGATTACGAAGTCATCGTCTAACCGCTCAACAAACTCGGCTATTGAAACTTCTTCAGTCTATCTACAATATCCATTATATCTATTGATGACCGTGCCCTCATTCTGAAGCCGAGTGCCATGTTAAAGAAGAACGCCTCCAAGAGATCCTGGCTTGTTGGTTATGCCAGGGTAAAGCTCGCCCGAGTTCTTCAATTCTCTAACTGCTTTTGCTGTTTGAGAAATACCTTCTCTAATGGAATCCTGGCTTACCCTGAATAGCTTCAAGTTTCGTCAGGGTAAAGCCGACACCAGTTAGTCTACAACTTCAACGAAATTGTTCATGGTGTCGTTGGCCTTAGATGTATGACACTACAGCAGTCCGGAAAAGTCAAATGGCTTTCCTCTACGAACGCCCCGATATCAGCGTACGTTTTTCCCGTTCGTCTTCAGCCAGGGTAGCTCTTCTACTAATGCTACTTTCCGGGAAAGACAGTACTAAAGATTTTATAATCATTTTTTTTCTTTCAACACTTCGGGCCAATGTCGACCGGGCGGTCCATAATCCTCGTCGATTGTCTTCATATACTCCTTATCCGTTTCAATCGTAGCCAGAGCTGCTAACGTATGATTGATAGGGTTGGTTTAGCTTGAATCATAACGACCCTTGCCTTTAATTACTTTTGCAATTGTCTCCACGGCCCGCATATGTCCTAATTCTTAAGTTTGCTTTACTTCGCAGTCGCTAGGATTCGAACCCACGCTTCCAGAGGGAATCTGATTTCTAGTCAAACGCCTTAACCGCTCGGCCACGACTGCACCTTGGTTGATGTGGTCTATTCAAAGACTTAATAAGGTTGTATCAGAATGAGAAAAAAGTTGTAATCAATTCCATGGATTTTTAAAATGATTCGATCAGAATGAAAATAATTTCTAAATGTAAAATAAATTGCCTTTATTTCTTCTTGTACATTGCTTTCTGTTTGTTTTGTTTGTATGTACACATGCAAAAATATACGATTCGTTAATTGCCACAAAACTTGGAAAAAGTCTGCAAAGTTGAATAAATTCGTTTCATTCATCCATTTATCGTATTTATTGATATTTAGTTTTTTCCGTTCGGCTTCAGCCAGGTTGGTGTCTACGGCTTTAGCCAGGGTATCTCTTTTCCTACTGTTGCCTTGTAAACAACACTAAGCTGCTGGATACCAATGCTATTTTCCGGGAAAGACAGCACCAAAGATTTTATAATCATTTTTGTTTCGTATAAAAAATCGGTATTCATTTTTATTTAAAAGTTTTTGATACTATGTTGTGCACTTGTTAAATGCTTTGATTTGCCGCTAAAAAACTTTGTATGAAAGTAAAAAACGAACATGTATGGAGAATGGAGAGATCACAGAGTTGCTTGTAATAAATAAGAAAAATAGTCAAAAAGTGGCAACGCAGTCGTCATTCAGCTCTTTTATTATTATTATTATTATTATTATTATTAATTTCGCCAGAAAAATAAATTCTAAGACTAAACTCTTAAAAGCACTAGCATCTAAGGCTATCGGCTTTTATTAAAAGCTCTACCGCACTTGAGATTCGAACCCACGACCATTGACTTGCCTACTCGTCTACTCCGGCGGATATATTATTATTATTATTCTATAAGAAAAAAAGCAACTTTGAAAATTTCATTAAAAATTGTGTAAAAAAGTCTGTTATAAACAAAAGAAAAAATATGTCAACACAACCAGAGAATTCGTTGTACGACCAGAGAATTCGTTGTACTTGCTAGTCGAGACTCTTGCCTACTCGGCCACTCAGGCGTATAGGGGGATGAATTTTAATAATTTGCTCGTACGTACAATTGTATATAAATAAATCTCTTCTTTTATAAATACCTTCACAAACGATGAAATATTCTACTAATGGGAAAAATATATTTTGCAACTCTTCATTCTTTTTCCTTTCTCATCTCTTTAGCTTTTTCCTAAGCAATGTCGTTTCATACTCTTTAGTTATCTCGGCCGTCTTTCTCTTACTTACATATAATGAAAGTAGTGAATTACTCTTAGATGATTGTGAATCGAGATGGATTTCAAGCCCTGAGGAAATACACATCAACTTATAAACTCAAATGTTTTTCCAGTGAATATTTTTATTGTAATATTTTATTTGCTCTGAGAGAAGTTTCTATGAGATTTGTGAGAGAGAAACAGAGAATAATATGAACATAAATCTAAGCATTTTCTAGATTTTATCAATTGCTTCTTACTCTCGCAGCAAAGTACATTTTATCTCTCTTACTGTTAAAAAGTCAAAAACAGGTTCATAAGAACATCCTGCAAAAACAGCAAACTAAATAAATAACACAAGCAAAACGCATATATTTAGAATATTAAAAATTTATTTTAAAAATATAAAAATAAAATAATCCAAAAAAATATATTAAATAAATAAGTAAGTGAATGATTTTATATTTTCTTATCTCTTTAGTAGATTTAGTATGTTTTCAATTTTCAATATAGAATTGATGCTGATGATGATAGTAACTCAAGGACTCAAGCAAACCTTATATACTTTATGGGACCTATGACGCTTGAAGCTTTCTTTGGAGTGTGGCAAACATTTTGATAAAATGACTATACCTCTTGGTAAAGAGTACGAGTAAGATTTACTTTCCTGTACAATTCTTATGAAACGAGTTTTTGTCTTTTCTGAGAGTAACATTCTATTTCTGAGAATAAAATTTACTTTACTGTAAAATTCTTATGAAAGGTGTTTTCGTGTTTTCTGAGAATAAAATTCTATTTTTGTGAGTAAAATTTACTTTCCTGTACAATTCGTATAAAAGATGTTTTGAATTTTCTGAGAGTAAAATTTTTCTCTTCACATATTTTTGGTTGTGTTTGAAAGGCGCGCTTTTGCATAGATTGTGTAGATACAATTGTATCTATACAATACAATACAAAACAAGATATAATTGTATCTATAGATATCCAAATGTAGATATTTAGATAGTTCACTCAGTTTCAATCAGTCAGTCAGTTCAGCGGTGACAGCAGTGAATTTAGTTTGAATTTAGTTTTTGAATGAGAGAGTTGTATAATTTCTTATCGCATGAGATTAATATAAACAAAACAGAAGATAAAAATAATATCCGATAAATTTAAATAAAATAAATAATAAAAACAAGTTAAATAAAGTTTGCTTCTTACTCTTCGCAAAAGTTAGCTAAAATAATATACGTAAATGGTATTTAATATTGAGAAGAAAACTTAATACACAATAAATAACTAGTTATTGAGTTAGGTAGTGCTCTCGTGGTCGAGTGATGTTATCTAAAAAGTGATGATTTACAAATGCATAAAAGAAATAAAAAAAAAAACATATGGCAAAACCATTCACTAAGAATAATTGTCAACATTCTACGTATGCATGTGCTTGATATATATAATAAAAACTTATTCAAGTACTGTATTTGATAAGAACGTTTTGTTTTATGAAGTGATTCGTTCAGATCGTTTGGATATATTTGTTTTAAACAAATTTATGAATAAAATATTATTTGTAAAAAATATAAGAATTTACTTTCGAGACGCTATCAAGCGTTTACATTAAAGAGGCGTCTATCAATGGCCACTAACGCTGAAATACTTCCCTTTCATCATCAAACCATACTCACATTTCAGACAGCTGCTGCCCTTACTAATTATGGTGGAGTTGGAGGAGGTAGCAGTGGCATTTCAACAGCTAGTCAACTAGCAGCTGCCTGGAGCATGGAAGACCATTTATTTCAACAGACTGAATTACCCGTTTTAACGAGAAGTACCCATCATATGCTACGGTTTGCTCCATATGCAATACCCCATCGTCCTCAGTTGCAACCTATACCACCTGCATTATATCTTCAGCATGCAGCTGCTGCCGCTGCGGTACATGCGCAGCATCATCATAATCTACAACAGAGAACAACTTCGCCGGCGAGTCCACCTCCCACTGAGGGATATCATATTAGTAACCTTTTTCCGGAAATACTCGAGTTGATCTTTAACGAGCTGTCTGTATGCGATTTAGGTCGAGCAGCGCAAGTATGTACGGCATGGCGTGATGTTGCCTACTCTAAAAGTATATGGAAAGGCGTAGAAGCTAAATTGCACTTAAAACGTTCTAGTCCAAGCCTTTTCAATTGTTTGGTGAAACGTGGTATTAAAAAGGTGCAAATTCTTTCGTTAAGACGTTCCCTTAAAGATCTTGTATTAAGTGTGCCCGCTTTAAATTCCCTCAATCTCAGTGGCTGCTTTAACGTGACTGATGTGAATTTAGGTCACGCATTCTCAGTGGATTTACCCAATTTAAAAATTCTCGATCTATCTTTATGCAAGCAGATCACTGATACTAGTCTGGGTCGTATAGCGCAACACTTAAAAAATCTGCAAACATTAGATCTTGGTGGTTGCTGTAACATCACTAACACTGGTTTATTATTAATCGCGTGGGGTTTAAAAAAGTTGAAGCATCTTAATCTACGTTCCTGCTGCATAAGCGATCAAGGCATCGGCCATTTGGCCGGCCTTAATAAAGCCACTGCTGAGGGCAATCTGGAGCTTGAATTTTTAGGATTACAAGATTGTAATCGTTTAAGCGATGAAGCCCTCGGACATATAGCACAAGGTTTAACGTCACTAAAATCAATAAATCTAAGTTTTTGTTTATCTATCACGGACAGTGGTCTAAAACATTTGGCACGCATGCCGAAACTCGAGCAACTTAATTTAAATTCCTGCGATAATATATCCGATATTGGTATGGCTTATCTAACCGAAAGTGGTAGTAATCTTAACTCTTTGGATGTTAGCTTTTGTGTTAAAATTAGCGATCAAGCATTAACTCACATTGCCCAGGGTCTTTACCAGCTAAGATCGCTATCGCTTAATCACTGTCAGATCACTGATCATGGAATTCTTAAAATAGCGAAAGCTTTACCCGAACTAGAACATCTAAATATTGGCCAATGCGAAGGCATTACAGACAAAGGCTTGCAAACGCTCGCCGAAGAATTGCTTAATCTAAAGACAATTGATTTATATGGATGTAACAAGTTATCATCGAAAGGTATTGACGTGATAGTGAAGCTACCCAAACTCATTGAATTAAATTTAGGCTTATGGCTTAAAAGATGATGTGCTAAATTCAATTCAAAACGAACCCAGCGTTTGTCCGCGTTTATCCATAACTGGCCACAAAATGATCCATTATGGCAACATTATTACAACCCTAAGCCGGCTCGGAATACAAGCGTACATAAAATTGCGGAATGAATCGTTCAACTTCTTGTAATTGAATGAAACGTTATGAAGAAAAATAAATCGGTCTCCTGAGGTCTTGAGCAAAACGAAGGCACCTGAGAAATTAAATCATCATATACTTAAATCTGGCTTTTACATGCGGTCGTTTACGGGTAGTACAAACTCATTACATTTGATTTTAAAGTTCCATAAGGTCATAAAATATTTCCGTCCGTATTTTTCTATTATTATTATGAAAGTTTGATCTCTTTTAACTAACAACAAAGTAAATAATTACTTACATAATTGTTAAGCTGCCTACTGCTTGCTATGTTAGATTTTGTGCATGCATCAAACCTTATAAGTAAACTTATAAAAAAAAAAAAAAAATTTAAATGACTAATAGATGGGTTATCGAACGGAAATTCAGTAGCCGCCAAACACAATAAGCTAAAGCCATGAGTATAGGTAAATAGGAAAAAAAAGAAGAAATGAACCAACAGTCATGGCGACAGACATTCAACCCCTTAATAATGGAAACACCCGCCAACGAATATAAAAAAAAAAAAAAAACGAAAGAAACCTGTGTACGCGTAGAATACTATGTGTAAGCAAGCGTAGGGCCATGCATATATATGCATAAGAGCAGACATATAGGTAAACAGCTTAAGCGAACATACGCGCATGCAAGACTTGGGGACACCAAACTATTTATATCGAATAATTAATTATGCGCTTAGCAAGTCCGTGAAAAACAAAAAAAACCCCAGGATAGAAATAAATGAGATAAGGGTCACCACATCGAAGACTTTTGTAAACTGTGTCCGATCAGGTCAGATTGATATTCAATTCAATGAGAAATTTTCTATAAATTTATAAAGAAAAGAAAAAATCTCGATAAGAAGAACGAACGTAAAGAGTAAATAAAAGTTGTTCCAATGAAAAACTTTAGTTATAAGAATGTACGTAATTTATAAGACGGTGATGTGTATGTAAAGCAAAGAAGAAAAAGAAGAAAAAGATGAAGAAGAAGAAGAAAAAAATTTATACTGAAACCTCATAGCTTTCGTTTGCCATAATGCGAGTAAATATACGTATATATTAAAGTTGCATTAAGTAAAATATCGGAGAGAAACAGAAAAAGAAATGAATTAAATATCAGCAACAACTACAAAAGAGGCACTGCACGATTGAAAGAAATAAGTAAATGTTATAAAACAAAACAACGAACGCACACACACGCATACATATATATATATATATATATATATATAAGCACATAAATCATGAAAGAAGCAGAGAGAGAATAAGGAAAGAAAGAAAAACAAAAAAAAAAAAAAAAAAAACAATTGGGGTTAAACCGGGCCGACCCGATTCGACTAGACTGACTTTACCGTATAAGCAGAGACCAGACGAGATCGAGTTGTAAGTAAACGAGCGAATAATAATCAGTTGCTGAAATTGCTTGCATACAAAAATTCGAACCAGAGACCAGTAGATATAAGAAATAGCAATCAAAACGTGTATTTCTCTACGGTTAGATGCATACAAACACATGCACACGTTTTTTATATATACATATATATACATAGATATAAATGCATGTATGTATGTATGTATGTATGTATGTGTGTAGAGGTATTTGTGTGCGTGTGTTTATGCTTATGTCATGTGCGTGTTATATATATATATATATATATAGAAAAAGAAGGAATAACAACAAGATAAAATAAATAAGAAGAAAAGGTTAGTTCGCAGTGATGCGAAGCCAATTCGAAAAAGTATATGCGCGTCTGCGGGTACGAAACATAATCGATGAAACAGAAATTGTTTGATTGTTATGGCGCGCTTGAATATTCAATTTAGACTGACTTGTAGTCAAAATGCGCCTTTTTATTTCAAGCTTGTTTTTTGTTTCACATAAATTATTAACATATACACGAACATAAACGTTTGGTTTTCTTATACATATCTACAAATATATCTACATTAGAGTATATATATATATATATATATATATATATATATATATATATATATATATACACGTGCGTGTGCGTGTGTGTGTGCGTGTGTAAGAATGTGTTATATGTTTATATCATATATACACATATATAGATATGTGTATATAAATATTTACAAGATAACATAAAATATAAAAAAGTGCGTGCACTGCCCAACCTGCCAGTATTTATATTAAAACTTGCTGTTGTTGTTATTGTATATTTGTGAAATTTATCATTATTTTTTTTTTTTCTTAATTCTCAGAATAGTCGTCGCTTTAGTACAACATTCACATTGTATTTCGTTCTTATTTCTAAACATTGATTTTGTTTTACCCGCCTTTCCGTCCCGCTTATCATTTTTCAATCATATAACCCAAGATTGCATTTGTTTATCAGTTAGTATTCTCTTCTTTTTAGTTTTATGCGAGCAAAAAAAACACAAAAATATTTTTCCCCCTAAGTTTAAGTGCGTCCCAAAAGGGCTTTCACGAGTTATTGATTAAGCTTTAAGCATGAAATATCAAACAGAACTAAAATGAATGTCGCGACATAACTCCAAAAGACTTGCTAGTTAAAGTGGTTTACTTAGGTGGTTTACTAAGCTTCTGACTACGCTCTAAACATCAAGTACCGGAAGTTAAGTTGTCTACAATCCAGAAAGAAAATATTGCGACATAACTTAATTAAATTTGCTTTGTCAATTTTCCTTCTCTATGCGACAGATTGTTTTCGTAACTTTGTCCGATACGTTTGCCGCGCTATTTCCAAAACTATCGCTACGTTTCCTATGGACAGAACTTTTCAGTTGTGTTTTTTCTATTCAAAATTCCTTCCCTCCCTCCCCTTTCTCTTTTTTGAATGACATGGAGATTCCTTGCAAAAATATTCCACCAGATATTTCTTTCCCATTTCTCCTTTGCGATAATGCCATCGCTCTTTTTAATGACTACAAAATGGTTGCTTCATTATGAGAATAGCATGCAAGTGTAGCCAAGCATATCGGAAACGTAGTAAGTTTTCAATAGCTCGACTAAAGTCCACAGAAATTTTTCTTGTTCTCATCATTGCCTTTATTTGTGATTGTAATTTGACTGCTTTGCGGGAGGTACGTATGTGACCTTGGAGACGTTTATCAAATGCAATGTACCCTCGATCAACGAGAGCCTCAGAGGACGAGAGAAGAGCCTTTTCAGCCATTTGAACTGAAAGTATGCTTGAGTCCCTCCTGCTTTTAATTTGGAAATGGAATATGATTTCTGAGAAAACTAAGTCCACAGTTGTTATCAAAACAAAAATCAAAAGTAAAAGCACTTTCGTGGGCATTGTGATGTGAAATCCTTTGTGTTGTGCTCCTTTGTTGTAATGTTCGCAATAGGAAAACTATAGCATAAGAAAATGCATAAAAACAACTGTTTCTCTTGCTTTTCTTGTGACATTGTTTCGATGTCCATCTAAGAAATTTCATATAAAATTGAAAATAACAGTGACAGTTCACTTTTTTAAATTGCAAAAGTGGGAAATTGTTTTCCCTCAGCAATTTTATAAAATTTTACTTGAAAGGACATTGACTTACTGCTGTTAATCCCAACAAACAAAAAAAGATTGAAAATCTTATAAAAAAAGTTTGCATTTTGTAAAAACTAAAGAATTGAAATAAAGCAAAGACATAAGTGAATATTGCATTAACGTTACGCTCAAAAAGTCTTATCGATTACTTCAAGCGATTCGCTTACCAGGTAAATAAATAAGTCCTTGCCGGTTTTAGTAAAAAGCAGCTCATGACCCTCACTTTTACCAAGTTTGACAGTCATATGGAAAAAAATAATTATAGGTATTTTCGTTATTGAAACATTGAATTCATGTTTAAGACGGGGGCGAGCATATGCGCCAAGTATTGCTTCTCGTATTCAATCAAAAGAAAAAAGCATTAGCTGTAGTCATGTTTTTCTTGTAGAAGTTGACAGTGAAACTGTAGAAAACTGACAACTGTAACGATTGAATGCGGTGCGATGAACAAAAGACGCCTTGGACCAGCAAAGAGAATTGATTGTATTGACAGGGTCTAGGGGCCAGGAACACATTGGTTGTAGATGATAGGCAAACGCAACAACCGGCGGAATAACATATAAATTTTTGCTCAAGAGAACATCAGTGCATGTTTATGTGCTGAGCTCAAGGTCATTAAAAAGTCCACTTAAATCAATTGGGAGATACAATATAGAATAGAAGATTCGTGAATAAAATGTTGCTCGCAAAGATATGAAAGAAGGTCGTTATAGTATCGTATCGTCAAGAACACGTTTACTTTGAAATACGAAGACGGGATGGGAACGTTTGGGATGATCCAAGCCAACTACCATAATCGATGCGCTTCACAGAAAAGATAGTGCTCCATGTTAGGGAGGTATGGGAAAGTGTTATGGGTCTTGGGTCAATGTATAATCCGTTCAAATCTTTCGTATTCAACGCCGCCGACAACAAACGTTCGATGTGGACGTTACGGATTGAAAAACGGCCACAATACACCTCTAAATATGTAAAGACAATATTAGGTTGTACACGAAGCCGCGTAACGAAAGCATGTAAGGGTGAGTTGAAAACGTTTGCTTGGGGGCTATCGTTCCATTTAGCCTGTTAAGCAGATTTGACGTCACCAGACTACGATTTATATGCATTTGCATCGACAGTCGACAATTATGAAAAACTTAGAAAACCATTTGATAAATGTTTTACTTGAAAAGACGAGCTGTTCTTTTAAAACGGATTCCACTAATCGTCAGAAATTTCTTTTATCATTCGCCTCAAATAAGTCGAAAGGGATTTATTTACACACTTGCACTTTTCGTGCTGCTTGAGTATTACAATAATAAGTCGACACAAAGACGGACCGAATTGACTCAGAATCTTATGCTGATCAAGAATATATATGTTTTATGAGCTCCCCGAACAGTTCGTCTTAATTTAAATACTAAAAAAGAAAGCCCCTAAGATTTTACTTTATATTCTTTCTTACGTTCGAAGTTAACTTTTCGTCAATTGATTATATCCTGGTATTTTTACTTAGCGCTCAGAGTTGCCGGAAAAGTGCCTAAAAAATTGGAGTTTGTGAGAGGTTGCAAGATATTATTAACATTATTAGATATGTCAAAAAATTATGACTGTAATTAATACGCCATGTGGGCTTAAAAAAAATTAAATTTCCATAGGAAATCTTTCCGGCTCTATTTCTATCTAGAGAGTGGAGCGAGAGTGAGAGTACATTCGTCTAAGATATGAATTTTTTTGATCTCTACGTTTTGTTTAACTTTTATTTCTTCAAGTGCTTTATAATAATAATATTTTATAAAATAAAAAATTAAAAAAAAAAAAAATAAAAAAACAAAAAAACACAAAATCCCAAGAAGTCATCATAAGATCGATATGAAGAAAAGGATAAAAACAAGTCTTTTTTCTATTGTGATATAAATTTTACTGTAAATTTACATATGTACGTATGTGTGTATATATAATAATAATAATAATAATTATAATTTTTAGTTACTTTATAAACAACGTGAATGTATAAAAAAAAAAATCGTTTAAACAAAGAAATGCATAAAACAAAGAAACAAAAAGCAATCCATTCTGTAAGAAAACACTAACGAGTACGTATCTTCTTCTTTTCTTTCCATTTTTGATTTTTATCTTTTACTTTTTTTCATTTCTCTTTTTCTCTTTCTTTCTTTGTTTCTTTCATATAAAAATTTGCTTTGAATTTAAAACTTCTTTGAAGTCGCATTTCATTTTGAAAAACTGTTACTTGAAATTTTTTTTAAAATAAAATTTTGTTATATTTGTATTAGTTCGATGAAATAATATTGTAAATGAATGAAGAGTGAAAAAAAAAAGAATATTAAAAATAATTTAATTTTAATAATATTAGAAATTGAGCGTTATATGTTGTTTTTTTTTTATTTTTTTTTTTTATTATAATTACAATTATTACTTTTGGTAAAATACAATAAAAATTCTGATGAAAATCAAAAATTGCTTTCTCTACCTACGTAAGTATGTAAAAAAAAAAAAAGAAAAAAGAACAAGTAACAACAATGTGGTAGACCACGGCCCCCCACTAAATGCATTACATCACCCTAGCATTATTAATATAACGACTTTTCCAAAGAATAGGCTTTATAGAGTAGCTGTTCGGAGACGTGGCCCGATTG